CATCATCATCATCATCATCATCATCATCATCATCATCATCATCATCATCATCATCATCATCATCATCATCATCATCATCATCATCATCAGCAGCAGCAGCAGCAGCAGCAGCAGCATCAGCATCAGCATCAGCATCAGCATCAGCATCAGCATCAGCATCAGCAGCATCAGCATCAGCATCGGCAGCAGCAGCAGCAGCAGCATCATCATCATCATCATCCCCATTACTGTAAACATCATCCCCATTACATGTTTTTTCCATTACTGTAAACATTATCATCCCATGAATGTGTGAAGACTCAGGGAATACCATTTGGGTCACCGTTTGCACGCGAAACGACCCATGATTCAGACTGATTTGCACTGACTTGCAACGAGTCCGGGTCCAGAACTTTCAAGTCTGTGTGGTTCTACAGCTTTACTGACCAGCCAGTACGTAGATATCAAGAATCATCAAGAACAAGTTTTTGCTCTGAACTGTTGATGGCTCAGGGGATTAGCTTGATACGGGATTAGCTTGATTAGCTTGAGTTACAGACAACTCGATCAGTTGAATCTCAGACACCACCAAAGCTACATACTTGTCCATCATGTTCGAGATTGTCCATCCTTCCATCATTTTCCACCATTCCTTCTCAGCTCCAGCCGAGGACAGACTTCGAGATGCATTTGAAGCGTGCGGAGGCCACCAAGAAGATCCGCCGGCACTCGGACCAGGCCCGCGCGATGGAGCGCGATCAGTCGCGGGCGGCTGTGGTTGCTGGGGAAGATGTCCCCTGACCAATGTGCAGATGACCAAAAACCATCAGCAGGATCTCTAACCCCCTTTCACGCTGTACTCCCTTTCTTTCAGAATAAATCAGAATAGGCCATTGATTATATATGTTTTATTTTGTGTTTTTTCTAGTGCATGATGTCGATGGCGTTTCCTTGCCATGCTTTGCCATGGTTCTGATGTTGGATCCTTTCCTCATTCAAACGGAGTCCGGACAACGCTCGATTCTTTGAGAGTCCGGGGGATATACCAGAAACATCCTGTCAACCATGGAACTCCCTCTATCTCCATCTCCCTCTATATAGATGTCCATGTGTGTGTGTGTTTTTTGGTGTGGCTTTAATATAACCCGACCCCTAGAAAACCTTGTTGGTAACCCTCTCTAGGTCCTTACCCAACTGTTCTATTTCCGTGCTTTGCTTCTCTCCCGAGCCCGACACGAGTCCGGAGCCAGGCCATCCTCGCATGCTACAAGGACGGCTATTCACCTGGCCACGAGGAGCGAGCGATAGAGCCAACCCCTGGAAGACCCCGAGACCATCAGACTAATGGTGACGAACATAGACCAACATGGAATTGCTTTTACCAGAATGGTTTTACCAATATGTTTTACCATGTTCTACCCCGTCTCTCCAGACGATCCCATTTTTACCGTGCAACTCGAGGAAGAGAATCTTCCATGGAGCCAGCACGTCAGGGGTGCGAGTTTTCCGGAGGGTACATTTCCATATTGGGGGCGTGATCTAATCAAGTACACAATGTTCCACCAGTCCAGGTGACCCAGGCTTGACATGGCTTGACCGGACATTGTTCCACTATATAAGCCACCCCCAGGTCGATTGCCTGGGGAAAAAAGGCCAGACAGTAAGCATGTAGGTCTGACGTTCGGTCACTTGTGGGGCAGTGTTCAGTCTCATAATATCTCAATATATCTCATAATGCTGGATTTGCAGGTGACAACAGGCTAGGGGATCATGGACTGTAACTTTGGTTTCGTCCAACACTCGTTTGTTTATTCTAATGTCAGAGGCACAGTCTAGTTTTCTTCGTTCTTGGTGGCTGGGTGGCTCATAAATTTACACTGAAGATGTTTTAAACTATATTATTGTATGTGATTTGTTGACTTGTTTTCATCCCTTTGGAAGGTTTGTGAATCGCCAGGTCAGAACAAGTGATCCCTTTTAAATAAAGTCTCTTTAAAAGAAACCGGGGTCCTGACCCTTGAGCCTGGGGGCGCACAACCAGGCTTTCGACTGATCATGACTGACGTTTGGCAAACAACGGACTGACGGATCGCCGCAGGGAATGGTTCGACTGGATCCGGCGTTCTTTAAATCCCCCAGGGACAGACAGGCACCTGGCCGGTGCTTGAGGATCTTGATCAGCTCAAAAACAATGGGTCCTTCGAGAAAGATCAGGGCCAGACAAGTTCAAGAAACTTGTTATATATAAGATGTGTTCTTTTGAAAGAAAAAGCAGCAGATCCTTTTTTCGGCAAACAATATCATCCAGATAGGTAACAAACATGACTGACTGTCTTTTTTTACAGACTCACTTAACAGGACATGCACCAGTGTGTAGCCAGTTGCACCAGATCCAAGGCCTTAGAGGGATCCGAAGCCACAGAATCCTTTTGGCTTGGCTAGTAGTTCTTAGCAGAAGAGTTCGGGTCCTTCTCGTCCAGTGCTGTTGGATTTGAGGCCAAAAGCGCCGTCCCCCAAGCCCTTCTTGACTCGACCCTTCCGTGTCGGGAAGGTGTTTCCAAGCGGCCAGGCTCTTGTGAAGATGCTCGAGTCTGGTATTGATCCCGATACTCCATCCACAGGCACTTGCTGCCGCACTGACCAATGCGGTTCCGAGCCACGAGTTCCGGGGTTTTGAATTGCGCGAGACTTCCTTGGGATGTTTTCTTTTTTGTTTGTGCATCTTAGTAGATTGTGATATGTGTTTTCTTTTATGTTGCAATTAACTATAGCTATTTAGATTGGTTTTTGCTGTGATAGATATGTGGTAGAAGTTTATGTTGTTTGGCTAATGGAGATGGAATACTTATACCTCGGAAATAGGAACCAAATTCCTCCAAAGATCTCCAAAGAGTGGGCAGCCTTATGGGCGAGTTCGCCCGGCGTGTCCATTCCTCTATGTCTTTCCTTCCTGTTTGCTAGACATCCCATCCGAGTAGTCTGAACGACCCTTGGCCAACCTCGAGGAACGCAGTCGGGCTTCGTGGTGGGAATGACGCCAATCCTTGCAGCCGCCTCATGGGGAAAGGCGACACCCGTGGAGGGTCGTGGGCTTCGCTCGAAGCCCGCGGAGGAACGGTCGAAGGAGCATTGGAATCTTGGGTGGCCACAGTGACCGAGTGAAGTGGAGTGGAGTCATTGGGGTGGAGGAACCTCGGATAGATCTTGGGATCACTTCTTAGCTCCGAGGTAACCAAAGTACCCTAATTTTATCGGATATGACCTCATGCGACTACTCCGTCAGATGTCATCACCAAGATCCATGTTGCGAGGTACTATAAGTGAGACTCCGGGTATAGGGTGTCCAACTGGACTCCGAGTTTTGTTGCCGCTTTTCATGAAGAAGAGCGACCTTCGATGCAACGGCGTACCTCAACGACTTCGATGCGGCGACGGCGACCAGTGGATGGAGCTGGCGACAGAGACCCGACCAGTCGGATACATCCTGGTGTGCTCAGTTGGAGTGGGTCTCAAGAAAACCTGGCGCAATGGCTGCGTTCTTTTGTGAAGACCATCCATTCACACGACACACATACATGTCTTATATAGTGGCTCCGAAACCAAGTCTGTTCAATGGCCACCATGTTCAACCCCCTCAACAATGCTAGTGGCTTGAGTTTCGCACGTTCAATATGACATGACTATTGCAGGATCAAGTCCGGCATAACTGCAGGGTGCAGGGAAGCTTTGTTTTGGGGCTGCCTGATGGTATATAAGTAATTATGTGCAGGAAGCCATATATAACTGTCTACAGAATTCCTCAACGCAGCAGGGGTCCTCTAGTCTTTGGGGTTGTGGACCTGTTTGCTTAAATGTTTTCTGTCCAAATGCCAATAAATGATTTTATGTGATGGTGTTTTTGCTTTGAACTTTTGTAACTTGATAATATCATCTATCAGAACACATCACGCAAATTGATGCCACGAAGGCCGTGCTTTCGTGGCTTTTCCGGTGATGTACCTAGGTGTGGCCAAAGTCTTTTGATATCTATCAGATGTGGTGCAATTTTGTCCAGATCCTGCCAGCAGCAAGCTCTCGATGCACTCGACTGGCAGCGAGACACGCGAGACACGCAGCCTGTGTTTGATCAGGTATAGTTGTTGTATTTCTCATGGTAAACGCCGTAAACGTGTGAACTCACGCGTTGGCCAAGGCCTGTGACACGACCATCAGATGTTGTGACATTACCTGACCAACACAAAGTTAATGTACCTAACTGGATTTCAGCGCGTTATGCACCACTGTTGTTTCCGTTAGTGCTCTGCTGAAACCTCCAGTTTTGCCTTTTCACAGCCGAAAACCCGCGGGGTCATGAGAGCCGCAGCGGTTTGAAGCATTCTCACGATTTGTTTTGCTCAGACAGGTAAACACGTGGACCAGAAGCTTCATAGTTACTCCAGCCTTGCACCTTCTCTGCCTGCACTAGGAGAAGCAGACCTTGAAAATCTCCACCCACCAATCTCCAGCAAAAATACCATCTTCAAAGCAGCTCCAAAAGCAGCTCCACCTGCAGCTCACTTCTGGTTTCAACCACCCCTCTACCGCTCCATTTGCAAACACAGCCGCAGCCACCGACACAGCCAAACACCCCGCTGTGTCTCACCGGCGAGGTGGATGACATCCGACTTCTCATCGCGGCGGGTGCCGATATGACGGCCAGGTCGCCCAACATTGGCCACACAGCCTCTTGGGCCGAAGGGCAGTTAAGCCCAAACGGTCGAGTAGGTCGTCGCGAGTTATAGCTAGCTGTGGGTGTGGGGCGTTTGGGTGCGTGGGGGACCGGTCCGGGAACGGAGGACTCGAGTCGATGAGTTTCTTGGGTTGTGGATCCTTTCGGCCCTGTAGGGTCCGAGGGATTGCTATAAGCAGCAGCTTAGCATGTTGATGGAACGGAGTGGGGTCACCGGGACCTGACCTTTTTTTTGGCGCCAAGTATTTTGACCAATGCTAAGGGACAAGATGTTAGAGGCCAATGAGTTCACCTCGCAGGGGAGAGCTAGATGATGCTAACAGTTTTAACATGTCCGTTTCTCAGAGCAACTTTGAGGAGCAGGTGGAGTGGAAGAATTCCAAGCAAAACCTCAAACCTCTATCACCATGAAAGTAGTGGATACTATCCATTTGAGGCGTAGTCACGGCGTAGTCTTTAGCACTTCTTCCGTCAAGAGTAGGGTCTACTAGATATTCGTAGTGGCGCTGGATAGAGTCTTCATCAACAATGACATTTGGCATGGCAGCAATATCTCATCACTATTCTTGCTTTGTCAGTCTTTGTTCACCGAGCATGTTCATGCTCCTTAACAGCAGGCCTGCCTGCCTTGATCACAGAAGGGTTTCCCCGGTGTTGTGCACTTCCGGTTTCCCGTGGTGTTCAGAACGTGTTGGTCTCCGATTTTTCAGGATCGCCAGAGCTTCTACAAACGGTCAAGGGTGATCCGATTCTGATTATCTCCCGTTATGCTCAAAGGAAGGTTGACTCCCTGGCACACAACGTGAAAAGACAGAAAATTCAATTCAACGAGGGGAGCCCCAATAAGAAGCTCATGGACCCGTCATATCCAGATGGACCAGGAGCCTAGGAATCCTTAGAAAGCTGGGAGTGCAAAATCAATTTGTTTTTGTTAAAGAATTGCCTGTTGGCTGAGCTGCCGACGCTGAAGTGAAACACTCACCCACCCGTGTCACTGATTTGCGCCTACTCGTGCCGCCGTGTCGTCTTCCGAGGTGCTTCACGCCGCTTGGAACGGAGAGGATCTTCGTGGAACGGTTTTCAACCACCCAAACGGGTGATGGTGAGATGGTGACCGAGGACGCGGTGCGGGGCTTCGGTGGTATCGCTTTTTGGATAGACCCTGAAAAATCTGTGTGTTTGTACAGCGATACCTGAGGTGGTTGATTTGGAAGATTCAATGATGCATGTGTTGAACATGTTTTTGTCACCACTTAAGTCTTGGGGGGTCAACTTATGACAACACGCATGCTTTTGATATTCCGCGAGCTATCAACACTGTCAACCAAGAAGAACACATCAGGGCCAGTCGTGCCACCCTAGCTGGAGATCCAGTTCGGTCGTCCAAACAGATGACTCCTTCGGATGTTCCAGATGAAAAAGAAGGGATGGTTTGGGTATATGTATGAGTAAATTGGACGGCATCACCTTTAAGTATTGTTGTTCCGCAATTGGTTGCAGAAATGGAGCCAGGTGAAGGTATGACGTAGTTGTTTTTTTCGTATACATTCAGCTCGACTCTTGGATACGCAAACTTCCGCAAAAAAAGCACGTACTGCTTCGCGTACTGCTGAGCGTGGTCGTCTCGCCATCGCTCTGCGGTATCGCCACATCGCTTCGTACTTCAACCCATGCTACTTGCTAATCATTCGCTACTTCATGACACATGTTCGAACTGACTCAAACCCATGTCTGTCACTCAGCCTCGCCTCCTCCCCGCCTCCTCGCCTCGCCGTCGCCCGGCCGAGATCGCCGCGTCCGCCTCGGTGGACACCGGCGGCGTGGATCGAATCCATGTGCCGAAGCGGCAGAACGGACGGACGCGCAGAACGGACGAGCCGATGGACGGAGGGCCCCCCAAAAAGGTGGGGGAACATGATGGGAAGAGATGGTGGACCGTATGGTGAGTCACCCAAAGACCACCACAATTGTTTTGACGTAACTAGGTGAAGGAAGGTTGACCACCAGTGGGATATCGTGGATGAGTCAGAGGTAACGTATATATACTTTGTCACTTGATGTTGCAGACCTTAATGGCTGTTGAGTCAACTATATGGTTTTTCGCTGCCCCGCGCCTCATTCGAGTGGGCGAAGCGAGCAACACTCAATTGGGTTGTTAAAGGTTTGTTTGGACACTGTTTGTTGATCGTACCATATCGTACCTGTGAAACACATGGCAGATCGTGAGGGAATAACAATGCTTAATTATTCAAACAACACAATTAGAGACCCCGATTATACTGTATACAACTTCAGGAGGTTGATGCTAAACCATGCTAAACCCTGTCCAATCTTCGATGGAGATAGTCCTCTTCATGTCGAATATGTGTCTCATATTCCCGGATCATTGAATGAGTTCCGTGTAGAATTACATGGTTGTTCCCAGTCCAATTGGGCAAATCCAGTCATTGTATTTGCCTCTCAATCCTCCAGCTAGTCGTGCACCACTTGAAAGGCCCCAAAATGGACTCTTCCCTTTAATTTACGAAACAGGGTGGTGCTGAATTGGCCTCTCTCAAGCCAAATATAACTCTTCAACTCTTCAACATGACCAGCGGTCGCCCAAAAGACCACGGTGTCGGACCACAACTGAGGCGATGCTTCGGATGATCATTGATGCAGATCCCTCGCCCTTTGGACATCGAGAATTGGTGGGTCAATGCTGGTCAATAAACGAAAAAACAAAATCACATCACATCATGCATATGTTGGATCGTTTTTCTTTTGGAAGTTCCAGAAGCTGATCCAGAATTCTTGGATCTATGGCCTTTTAAAAGCAGGCTTTTAGCAGGGGTGGGTGTTCCAACTGTGGAGGCCGTTTGCACTCCTCCAAAGTAAGCTATTGAATGTTGGACAAATTACATATTATTCTGACTATTTTACATGGAAAATCACAGCTGGACGACTTCTTCTAAAGGATGGTGGAAAAAAGACCAGTTGTTTGGGGCTGGAGGAAAGACTGGTGAAGGGCAACATAGGGCAACCCAAATCGATTCACTTGGATTTGACCCAAACGATTCCTCCGAGCTTCAGATGTTGGCTATTTCGGGACTGGTCTGGGTCCAAAGACCGGAGGACCAGCTACTGGTAGCAGCTACACTGTACACCAGGCATTGGTATTCCTGAAATGGACTCTGAACATCAAGAGCATGTTTCAAGCGGATTGCACGTGCTTGAACTTGGTGTCCAGCACTCCAGCACCTTATATTGGCCTTCCGACTGAGTGGACTGAGGCTTTTAGCTGCCAAGAATGGCATGGGCAAGAGTCGCACTTAGTATTTTTCCAGATGGGCAGCCGGTGGGGCGTTTTTTCTTTTTTGAGGTGTGTCTTCGTATCGACACTGGTGGGCGGTCGCGGTCAGCGGTCCGTGATGGCGACAGAGTCTCGCGTCTCACAGAGTGAATCGACTCGGCAGCAACGCAGCCACTCAGCTCCCGGCAGTCTGGATTGGTCGGTCTTCTTTCGTCGGTCTTGATTGGGGACCCGTAAACCACACATTGACAAAGCAGGAACATAAATTGAAGACAGACTAAACACGCATGTAATAGAGTAAAGTATAGTAAAATAAAGAACAAAACAAGTTGAAAGATCAACTGGAATGATGGGTGAGCAGGGGGACCTTCATTGACATGTGTTTTTGAGTCAAACCGCAGTCAATTACCTGCCTGCAGGATGCCTTTCGAATCCTCTAGAGCTGGTCATTCCTCCAAAGTATGCGTCGTTGATGTCGGTACGGTTGTGCGCAAAGCATAGAACAGTCTCTCGGTACCGATGGTGACCAGTGACCGTGGTGACCACGGTAAGCGGTATACGCAGGTTGAAAAGGAGCAAGAAGGACAAGAACATCCACAGCACCAAGCTAAGCATCCACACACCTCCTGGTAGGACTCCTTGTAGATGGAGGATACATGTTGCATGGACTCGACTTCCCCCTGTGTGTGACCTGTCCAGTCTATTGTACTCCAGGTTCTGCTCCAGATCTTTGAGTCATTCGTACCATGCGGACTGGAGACCCCTAGAGTCGAGGTGGAGATAAACCTCATGGAACCTCCAACCAGCGCCGGTGCGTGTATGGTGCACACACCGTATACGTCACGTCTCTGGATCCGCCCACTCCACCCCTCACCTGGCCGAGCGATCGATGTCGTTTCGCGGGTGTTCGAACAGACGGCGGGCGACTCAGGACGCCGGCAGAGTGGGCGAAGCACGAGAAGAAGCGCCACCACTCGGCCTTCTTGTCGAGCTATGTGGGCGGGAAATTCATCGAAGGGAGGGTCTGAGAGAGTCTGAGTCGTGCAGATGCTGGAGAGCCGTGCAGATGCAGATCTGGCCCTGGAGGGCTAGATCGAAATGAATCTAACATGTGATCTGTGGTTTTCTGTGGCCAGCTTGGCGCACTGAAGGGACAGACAGACTGATCAACGGCCATGGTAATCACAGATCATCCCTAAGGATGTCTCGTACCCTCACTTCAACAAACTGTTTGACCCTCACCCTTCTCCATTACATTATCGAAACAGCACATGATATACAGTATCAAAGCCATCTTTTCCTGTGAGTGTCGACCTGTTTGCTTTCAGTGGTGTCATCCCCCATGTTTTATGGCTATAGGCTATAGTCACAGTTAAAAGAAGTCCATTGTTTCTTGCGCGTTCATGTGATTGAAGTGAGGGGAATTCCAGGGTGGTGCAATCTTCCACCTGATTGGGTGAGCCGAGATGTTGGCTGCTGGGGACTCCACGCTCGGACGTGGAGCCGCGGAGCTCGGCAGAAGTTGATCACCCAAGCTTCAGTGTCAAAGCTTGAATCTGGAATTATCATAAGTCATCATCGGGAGCAATGATGAAACGTGTTTAGGAAACCTAATCCTGCCCCTAAGACTTCCATAAGCACATCGAAGCTCCTCAAACTCAAACAGGTCACGAAAGGTAGCTTGAGCTACCTGAGTTCTCCTTGCTTTAGCAAACATGTATTACAATCAGGAGTTGGGATTGTGCATTGAGTTTGGTCCTGTAAGAGTTGATTCTGTTCGTCGGGGGGGGGGTGGGCCCCCCCCCTCCCTGGATCAAATCCCCCTGCGCCGGGTCACGCCGTCATGGACTTCTACCAGGGTTACTTGTGATTGCCTGCTACCTTTCGTTAACCCCTTCCTCTCTCAAGTCTTAATGACTTCAAGCAGCACGAGACATAGACCGAGGGATTCTTGTAGTTATTTCCAGAGGGATATCATGAAGTTTCAGTACCTCCTTTCTATTTGCCCAGATGGTGATCAGTGCCATCCTGTCGCACAGACCGAGTGGTGGTGAGCTGTGGAAAAGGGACGTGGTCTGTGTGATGGAGGCGGCGACGATTTGGTGATCGAATCGTCAGGTCGACTGGCTGAAGTGGTTGCTCTCCCTGGAACTGGTCCATGGAAGTGGAAGTGGAGTTCACCACCTGTTTGTCGTGGAAAACTCATGGTCTTCCGAACTCGGGGTCATGGACTCCATGCACGTAACCATCATGGGGCCGTTCCAGGGAGTGGTTCATCTGGCTGAAGTGGTTCAAAGGCACCGGGGGACTCAGTTGATTTCCCACACGATCGAGTCATCCTACAGGACATGTTCTGAACGGTTTGGATCGAGAGTGATCGGATCTAGCAGTGGGAAAGGTGGAGCTGACAGTGGGAAAGGCATCCTTTTTCAAGAACACCATATTACAATGACACCTACTTGCAGAGCAGTTTGGCAGTTTGGCAGTGTCATATTTTAGATGTTTTTTCTTAATCACTGGGCCTATACAAATAAAGAAACTCGGACGCACTCAGCAAACTGCCACACCTATGGTGGCTTCACAAACGCCGTTCCAATGCAGAAGTGTGTTCTAGGCACTTTCCTGCAGCATAGTGACGCCTAGTCAAGATGCACACTCTATCCTTAGTGCTCCTGCTGGTCATCGGTCCGGGACAGCGCTTGGTCCAGGGCTGCGCTTGGCTCTTCCGTCTTGCTGGACGGTACCCTGTATCCTATCGGTACCGACCTCCGTCGGCAGGCCATTCCCCAGGCCATGAGAAGGTCCACGAAATCACCGCATGGTACGAGGGTCCCAGCAGTGGGTTGAAAAGGCTTTCCTGTATAGAATTTCCCTGTTTCGCCCCATTATGGTTGCATGGCTCTGGCCACTCCGGCCATCCGGCATGGCTGGAAGTTCTTCTTCCGACCCTGCCTGGCTGGACCGGACGCCAGGTGACGAATCCTGTGACCAAGGAGGTACTGGACAAGTCTGGCTTCCCCAGTGGTCGGTGGGACGCCAGAGGTCCGACTTCGGAAGATGGAGAGATGGTGTGTGTGTGTGCACTGACTGGAAGATTGGGCTGAAGAAGACGTTGAGGAATTTTGGTGGTTTTGGGAGGAATATGGTTTTGGAGGAGTGGTGGTTTTGAGTCTTCTTCGACAGGAGATGCATCAAGACCCCGTGAGTGAGCCGCATTCTTCTTCTGCAACGATGCTTCTTCTTCTGCATTGACAGTGAGATGCCACATTCTTCTGCCCTGCACCTGCAATGCAAGGAGAGTTTGCATCAGCCAACCACTGTAAAACAACAAAAGACATGCTTAAGACTGCTCAAATGAGTTGATTTGTTTAATAGACTAGAGACGAAAACGAACACCCGGTGCCAACCATGGCCGGCCAACCACCAGCCACCCCGCAAGGACTTCGTGCCAGCCCGGTGTCTCGGGACCGAGGCATCCCAAGTGCAAGCTGGTGGCCGTCTCCTTTACTGGCTTCAACCACGTGGACCTCGAGGTGGAGTTGAGAGGGTGTGAAGAGGGTGGGAAGGAAGGGAAGAGAACCCATGAAACTACAAGGAGGGAGTTTTTTTTTCACGTGCCAGGGGTCGTTGTGTCCGACGCCCATTTTGCTTCTGCAGAATGTTTAGTGGATCACTCCAGTTAGTAAGAGCTCTTAAAGAACGGCTTTGAGGATTTGGGATATGTTCGGGGAGGGGTTTGACACTTGGCATGCGGGTTACAGCTTACCATCTATCCAGCAAGCACAGAGGTGGCACATGGCACCTGAAAGCATGACTGTGTTCCTGTACAAACAGGATCTCCAGTTGCATGTCTTTGGGTATGCATGGTCTTTGTATCAGCTGCTGCACCATTTTGGCTGAAGGTAATTTACTCACTGTCACGGGCGAACTGAACAAGTTATGATGCAAATTGATATCTTTATTATTCCCCATGCTTACAAGGACCCGAAACTTACATGAAGCTGGACACATGATGTGTTGAGAGTTTGTCTGTGAGAAAGAGTTTGAGAACGAGCTCGCGTCAAACTACAAGATGAACTTTGGTATGTAAAGTAGGCCTGATGACACGTTTTCACTGGGTAAGCTGATGAGTGCTCCACCACTGATCACATGCCTGGAAAGCCTCGCAAAGGCGTGCAAGGAGAGGGGCATCTCTGTGGTGAACGCTGCCTCCTCAGATGATCGGGATTGGGGCAGTTGAATGTAGCTATAGGGTTGGGGATTTCAGTGGTGGAAGTATACGGCAGTGATGGAGAGGGACTTTCCAGTGGCGGAAGAATTATTAGCGCAGTGATCACGAGGGAGGAGGTTGGCGGTCAGCGGTGTCTGGGCCGATCGCCCCAGTTCTGAGGCTATGTAACAGAATCTGGAAACACATGCTACCCGTGTCTTAGGTGGTGCAACTGTTGCAACCGTGCTTTTCTCTCCACAACCTTAGACGGAAAGCCTAGCCCCGGTTTGCTGGTCAGTCGGTCCCTAAGCTTCGGGATAGAACGTCTGATAAGGTCGCTGGATCGTGTGATGTGCTTGTGAGGTTCCAAAGTTCCAGCTTGGACTCCACGGGAGAGCCGAATCTTCATCCTTCATCCAAACTCGTAGAGGCTGATCCTCCAACTCCCGCAACATACCACCACCCCTTCTCAGCCAGTTCACCTCAAAGGGCCCTTCAGGGTTTCTTCATCACAAGACGTCAGGCGTGTCCTAAATACCACTCACTTCCCTGCCACCACCAGTGTGACTCCAGTGCATTCGAGACTCTTTTCCACCGACCGTAGGGCGCCTTACGGCCGTGTTTCGCTCCAACGGACGTCCCTCGACGCGAGACGCGAGTCCCTCCAGGTGCCCGCCTACTCCACAGACTCCGTGGCGGAGCTCTCGGCCACGTGGTGAAGTGATTTTGTATTCCTCCAAACGTCTCAAGATGGAAGTACTGGGAGTGTTCAGAATTACTATGAATTACTTTCATAATTTTACTTGGAAATGTTGCCCAATTTACATTGGATTCCCAGGAGTCTGGAAATTGTTCAATTTGGTTAATTCTGGGAGAGTGTTGGCAAGATTTTGCAGGGTTGTGTTCAGCGAGTGGGGTGGCCCTATCTACAACAATGTGTTTCTCAGATCTTGGGTTTGCCCTACATTTGATTGGTTAGGGTAGCCTGGGGACGGGTCAGGGGGTGTATGATGTGCATGGTATGAACTTATTCATGTCCATTTGGAACATGTCGGAACATTTCGGAACCAGCTACCTTGAACCACCCACAGAAATCACACAGCTCAAGGACATGCATGCCCTAGGGCCTGGCCGACATCTAACCCGGTGGCACAGACCCCCTGGCACCCACCCCTGTCCCGTCTTCGAAACAGAGGTAGTTGGAGCCCTACCTGGTTTTGCTTAGGATGTTTTCATATAGCCAGTGGCTGGCCAGGGCACCAGGTTGCACACAGAGGCTTATACTTTGGGTTTGTCCTATTGCCTACAACAGTCAGTAACCAATTATCACTCCTTTTGAACCAGGCCTTTACTAAGCATCATCATCCACTGGGCCCTGTTACTGGCATTCGGATAGACCCAACTAGCTTATATACTGTTTGACCTTTTGAACACCGGAGGACGGTGCCTCCCCGGACTCCACGGTCCGACAAGGGGTCCAGCGGTCGTGAGGTGGGCTTGGCTTTGGCAGTCTATCGGGAGATCCCGGCCGGAGAGAGGCAGATGGGGGAAGACGCTCCTGTCCAGGGAGAGTGACGTCGTGACGTTGGTTTGTTTCGGATCAGATGATTCTTATGATGTTTGATGTACTTTTTACTTATTCACAAAGAACATCACTATATATATATATATATATTGAATCAACCACCATATATATGGGTATAAATCTATCACGTTTTTCTTCAACCACACTACTGCAAGATGATTTTGACAATGACAAATCTTTTCCATTTGTTGATACCACCCTATAAGAAAAAGTGGTTTCATATCACCCTCAGAATCCGTACCTGCCCTCCATGGCACAGGTCACGCCCGACACAACACAGGGGGTGTTTGGACCCGAACCAAGCCCATCACATATACCCAAACACTTCATGGGACTGCCATATATGCCGATCAGGCCAGGGGTGGTTGACTGGGGGTCAATTGATCGGCATATATGCCAGTCCCATGGAGTATATTATGGGATATCGGTTCGCAGTCAGATTCTTGGGACACTTTGATTTCAACCTCCGAGATGAGTCTTCCGAGATGATTCCGCTCATATCATTTGTGGATGGGGCTCAAATCCACACCCGGTGAGACAGAAGCCAAATACCTTCTATAGATGCTATTTGGAAGGTCAGTCATCTTAAGCGACTTGCTAAGTTGCGATGTGTCTCGGTGGTTTCCTTTCATGATCAATGCGTCTTTTGAGCTTCTGCGCAATGAAACCGACCATGGTTCTTGCGCAACTGCGCCTCCTGCAGTCTAGATTGAGCGGAAGGTGTCCCCATAGGCAAGCTAAAATGTTCCGAACACTCGCCATGATTTATCCCCAATGGGCCAATGGTTGAATTTTACAATGGTGCATGCTTACTATAGCCTTTTTTGCTATAGAGAAATCAATTTCAATCTGAGGTGGTCTTTCCGGCTGAGCTACAGGAATTTCAGAGTGGGCTTGCGGAAGTGCAGCCTGACTACCACAGGTAGCGTTGTCCGGACTTGCATAATAGCCAAGGATCTTGGGATTCAGCCGTAGCAAAATGAACAACAGGATCTCTTTGGGCGAGGATCGTGCTTCTTACACGCTGGCTTGGTGAGCTGTGGTCGGCTTTCTTTTTCGGGAGTAGGTCGTGTCCAACTCGTGAGGGCCATAAATGCACTCTAACTAGGTCCAGTTTTCGCCTCCTGGATTTCTTCGGATTCACAAGTGACAGGACGCTGCGCGCGGGCGGTTGGGTGCATTCCTCCGGTGGCATGGAGATCCGGGACAAGGCAGATAGAAGGTGGTGGGACACTGGAAGGTGGTGGTGGCTGTTGTTCTTCTGGGCAGTTTTGGGGATTTTCTGGGTATTTGCATGGGTGCCTAGATGAAGAGTTTATAATGTGAATGGGGCAACTCATCGGATCGGTTTCTTTTCCTCCTGAAGACCCGTTATGGCGATAGGTGGGCACATGATGATCCCTGAAGTGGTTTGCTCTTCCGTCTTTGAAGACTGGGACCCCGGACCACGGACCAACTCCTAAATAAGGTTCTTATTCCAGGAGTCACATGTCGGGGTGCTATCCATGGAGGTTAGGGGTGCCCATTATCCACTCACTTCCTGACCAAACACCACCCCTCTGTGACTCCTGGTTTAGGGATTTTTGTTGGGGTTGCTCAAGCTCTGCAGATGTGTTCTACTCTTGATCTGCAAAAGATTGGGGTCCAAGCCAAATCTAGCTAAGTTTTTGAGGCTTAGTGTCCAGTCAGGACCGTGCGCCACTTGTTTTTTTCCAGGCACATGGTTTCAGTGTTTTGGCCAGGCTTCATGTGGCATCATCGTGTGGCGATGTTCTCTGGGCGCGCCGTTGTCCGCACGCCCCGGGCGGCACCTCCGAACCGCTCAACGCACATCCGCGCAGCACGCTGAGGTGGTTGGCATCGTTGGACTTGGAGACATCGGCTTGAGGAGTCCTGCAGACGGAGAGGGGCGGGGCAACCCGCGAGCGAGACGGGCGCAGCGTGTTCCGTTTTCTTTTTTTCTTTGGCAAGACGAGGTCTGAATGGCCAGTGAACCCAGATGCATTGGATTCAATACTGTACTTCACCAAAGTGAAAGGTTTCTTCGGGGGGATTTGGAGAGGTTCTATTCAATCGCAGATCAAAAGGTTTGCGCTACGTATGTCAACATCAATATCAATATCAAAAAGGTTGTGACACGTTGCACCGTTAGGTTTTGTTGCTGTTCGGTTCACAAAGTTTAAATTGAATAAATTGGGCCCATAGTCCAGAGTCGCCAGGTTTGATCTTCAAAGTGTAGGTTGGCAGGTCGCACAGCCAGGCGCGGCAGAGGCCAAACCTGAGGTGGTACCGGGGTACCTTAAGAACTGAAAACCAAAGTTGGTCTTTTGTACATTAAGGCGCAGCTCGTTTCGTTGCCGCGGCTGCGCTCGAGGACGGCGGAGCTCTTCAAGGCCTTTGGCCCCTCCGAAATCCTCGGATGGCGCCTGGGCTGTGGATGTGACGTTGGAGGGGGGGTGAATGAGGTGAGATTTGTGTTGTTTTGTTAAATATTGTTTAAATATGTTTAAATTTGTTTCTTGATTGTTTAAACAGAGTTGTTTCAAGATTTTAAACTAGTTTGTGTAGTCTTTTTCTGGAATGTCGACTGGCGTCCTTGGGACCTTGAGGTGAATGTTGAGGAAGTGGAGAGCTCGGAGACTAGAGCCCCCCGACCGTTGGACGTTTGTGCAAAAAGAGAGCCAAGAGTTTCGGAAAAGATCAATTGGTTGGAGGGCCTCCCTATTTCTAACACCCGACCAGTGAATTTACACTCCAAGAGGTCAACAAAATGGATTGCTATTGTATAGAAGGAGGATGAAGGAGGAGGAGGTGCTGGTGATCCAGGTGCTAGGTTATTCATTTAAAATTGTTTGTTTGGTTAAGACATGAGGAATGGGATGGGAACAGATGATTTGATTTGTTTTTACTTCACACAAACGGTACTGTACCTTGGTCCATCAGTTTCTGCTTGAGGAATTGTCGTTTGTATCGTGGCCGTTTTTTGTTCAACACGCGAGACGTGAATCGAGCAGCTTAAACAAGCATCCGATGCTTCTTCTGGAAAACTACAACTGTTCATCATCCTCCACATCCCTTTTTAACTTGGTGTTCCTTTTTTTAAGCCGCGCCCAGCGAAGAGAGAGAACTTTTGGATCGGACTCCGCAGGCAGAAGAGAGTGACCCTGAAACCAAACCTGGTGCCAAGTTTGGGGTATCCAATCTCTTCTCAGATGCTCATTCATTCTTTTCAGAACGCATCAATCCTCCGAAGACAGGCATTTCGTTCCCGGACGAGACCATGGTGGAAAGTTGAATGTCGAGACAGCTCATTTGACCGACCAAACCTTCCAATCCAACCCTCCGACCGAGACAGACCCCCTCGGCCCCCTCGGCCACACCCGGCCCTGGCCGATCGCGGGTGGAACAGGTCCCGGCGGCCGAAGGCGGCCTTTGAGACGTTGGGGAAGCAAGTGCCCATCGAGGACCACGAGTGACCGGTGGGCATGGCCTGGTCGTTTCCAGGTGTAGAAGACAGACGCAAGCAGGAAGCTATGGTGGGTGTTCTGGTGGTTCGCATGCGGTGGCGCCGGACGGCCGTGGTCGCATGTGGACGGTACAGTTGGTGCCTTTAGGCACCGACATGTGGAAAGACCGACACACCGGATGATGGCGCGAAGTGAGGAAGGCTTTGAGGGCTTGGTGAAGTACCTGTGGACCCCGCATGACCTTGAACCTGAGGCGTGTTCTCAGGCTTGCCACGGGTCTTGAAGCTCCAGTGCCGAAGTTCCTGAACCGCAGTTTGGCCTTAGGCAAGGTGCACAGATCTTGGGCCATTCAGCTTTGAGTGGCAAAGAAAGCAGGAGGCAATGCTGGTGATGCATTTATTGGTCAACAAATTTGAACGTAAATTGACTAATCAGGGCTTCAAATACCTTCTCAGGAGGTATTTGGAGCCCCTGTGTCGAATTGTGAAGACAGAGGAGTCCAGGCGAAAACACAATCCAATTTGACGCACAGTTGTCCATGCAAGACACTTCGTCGAAATAAAACCTAGATACCCGAAAAGAGACTTCTGGGGCAGTGTACTGATACAAACCGGCTGCCTATACTGCCTGGTTTTAGCCTCCGTGGGTTTCGGCGGATTGCGCTCTTCTCCGCTGCAGTGACGCTCTCTCGCCAATCAGGAGCTCTTTGAAAAGTCCGACATCGTCTCCTTGCACGTAGCGCTGAATGTGTGGGCCTGAGCTTGGCAGATGTTGGCGTGCTCCTGCACCATGAAGTCGATTTTTATCTATATAGAGAGCACGCGAAGCGATGAACAGCACATCAGGTAGTCATTTTCTTATAATAACAGCTGACAGTGGCCCCCCCAAGAAGAATTGAAGCCCGTCCTAATCATCCCTCAGGGTTTTGGGCTTCCCAGTGTTCGATGTGTTGTTGATAATTTTGCCATTGAGAGTGGGTGATGGCAGGCAAACCACTCATCGCTTTACTCACGGATGGATTTGAATTAGCTGGAAATGGGTCTCCAAAGTCTTTTAGCATCTTCTAGCTTTTTCGAGCTTGACCGAATCAAAATCACGTGTTCATGGTGACTACCAGGTGGCTCCAAAACACTTAGAATCACCATGACAGCCCAGCCCACACGGGTGAGGGGTTCAGGGAGACTCAGGTGCACCCGCATTGAAACCCCGCACCCCGCACCGTGCAGCCAGGCCGAGACCCAGGGCATCATCGGCCGGTCCTTGATGGAACGATTGCGACCGGAGGAGTTGAGTAGTGGGACGTTTTGTGGGGACAGGTGTTGATGTGGTCATGGTTTTTCAAGGGAAGTCTGTGGGGACCCCTCAGGTGGGAGGCCCTCACTCTTGAAGACTCTTGCCCAAAGCCCTCTCAAGCATCCCTTTGGCCGTCTTTTTTAATGCTTTTTGTTGTATTGATTTTATCGGATTGAGTCAATCCCCATTGTGGGGGAATAGTTGTGTTTTTCTTGTTCCTTCCGGTTCCTGGTACAAAAGGGATGTCGGATGTGTCTGTGCTGTTTGTCAATTATGACTTCAGACTTAAGGACACAAGTGAGGTGTGATCCGGTGTGAGGTGTGAGGTCCCGGCTAGTGGTGAAGTGTTGTTCTTTGTGGTTTTGTGTGGTTTTAGTCTACGTAGTCACATGAATGATGATGAATGCATAATTTTTAATGCATTCATTGATGATGGTTTGACAATACGATGTACCTCAACAAGAGAGTGATGGCAGCCATACATGACATATCATGACATGCAGTGCTGTGTAGTTCTGCAGGTGTAATGATAAGTGCATCATCTACACTTGATCCTCCACTCAACATGGTCGTTCAGGTCGGTTGAGCCTCTCCCAATTGAAAACCTCGGGGGCTTTTCAAGCGGTGATTTCAGCACCAACCACGAGAGTCACAATAAACCAATCCAAAGAAACACATGTATTATACACAAACGCCAAACAGAAAACACAACCTCATGTTGATAAACAACTCACCGCTGTTCTATCCTCTTTTGCTTGCTTCCCCACACGCCTTCAGTCGGTTCTCATCAACGTGGCCCGCGGCGGCGTGTGCGATCAACCGGCTCTGGCGGACTTGCTCTGCCAGAAGCGCTTCCGCGCAGGTGCGGGTTGCGGGTGCGGCAGATGGATGTTCGGCCAGTTTCCGATGCGTCAGACAGCGGATCTCCAGAGATGACTCAATATAACTATATATTATATATAATATGAATAGTACCCTGTAACAGTCAGTAAACGGTTATCATCATTTTTGAACAAGGCCTTTACTAACCATCATCATCCACTGTTACAGGTACTAGGATAGACCCAACATATGAACATCCTGTATCTCCAATCTCCAAGTCTGATGCTTGATGCTCTTTGTCACTGGCTTCACTTCCTCAAGAGTGAGTTCACCTACCTAAGTTCACCGGTCGACGCGTTCGATGTCGCACGCACCAGGCCTGGATGTCTTCGCCACGGAGCCCATTCCCGCGGACGACCCCATCCTCAAGGCGGTCGACCGCAGATTGAACGCCCCAGCGATGAGCGATGGATTCAAATTAACATTATACCAGGACCCTCCAAGGGGTGCCCAATGGAAGCCTATAGGTAGTGTGGGGTAGTCCAGCCAGGACACCCCGAGGGTCGGAGGGTCCTGGATTTAAAACGGTTACAATTCAAAACGGTGATATTTCAATGGCAACAAAGACATTTGTTCGCTGATCTGATCCTTTTTGATCGCTCTTCCGCGCCTTCTGTATCCGGTGAGCTCGGGCGTGAACGTTCGCGAAAACCTTCAGGTGCCAGCAGACCAGGCTGTGATGATCCCTCACGTCGCGTGCGCCCGGTTCGAACTGGTGGGTGTGTCGACTGGTGGTTGGGAGTGAAGATTCATGTTGGATGGACCAAGGGAGGACCAGAGGACCCAAAGAGAGATAATTAGTGAATTCACTTTTTGCTTCATTGGCCCGGTTTCACACACACAACTGGGTCTGGGTCCAATCCAGTCTCCTGAAACTTCATCGTCCCACACCAGACAGTCTCCTCGTTGAAGGCTCAGGACTGCGGCAGGACGTGAGCTTGCATGAGATGCAATACTTGGCATACTTGTCTTGAGCCTTCCAATAGCCATTTCTCAGGCAAGCACTCTTTGCACTACTGGGACAGCTATGGAAAACACCTCCAACATTGGAAGGAGGATGGCAGAAAATCGTCATCACAAACTACTTCGGAAAAGTTGAGCTGGTCATTAACATGGTCCTCACAACAGCCTTACACATACTGACCAGCCAGCCAGACACACAGTATGCAGGAACTAGCCACCTGTCACACCATCCAACTGACAAATATATAGATATATATGACTTACACGCAAAGAAAGTCATCTCTAAAGCTACTTACGACAGGTGCCTGCCACTGGCATTTTTTGAGCACCGCGCATTTAGACCCAGTTCACAGCACACTGAATATAAGTCTGTAATAGTCTGTAGTTTTCGTTAAGGTGGAGGGGCTGATGGTCGACTGCCTACAAGCATCGGCGCGGGCGCCAATCCTTTTCATCAAGGAAGACGGATGGGTATAGAAGCACGCCTGGGCGGTATCAAAGACTACAGAGTGTTTGGCAAGAGTGTCCCACAAGAGTTTTCCACAAGAGTGTCCTACAAGTGTCCCGCACAAGAGTGTTCTGCCCCACAAAAGTGTCCCACGAGAGTGTCCTACAAGCATGTCCCAAAAGAGTGTCGCGCCAGAGTGTCAAGAGTGTCCCACCAGAGTGTCCCGGCAGAGTGTCAGACAAGAGTGTCCCACAAGGGTGCCAGCAAGAGTGTCCTACAAGAGTGCCCCACCAGAGTTTTACACAACAGCATCCCACAAGTGTGTCCCACGAGAGTCTCCTACGAATACCCCACCAGCGATTTCCACAAGAGCGCCCCACAAGTGTGTCCCACAAGAGTGCCCCGCAAGAGTGTCCTACAAGAGTGCCCCACCAGAGTTTTCCACAAGAGCATCCCACAAAGAGTGTCCTGCAAGAGTGTCCCACAAGAGCAAGTGTCCCAGAAGGGCTTTGGACGAGAGTTCCCCACGAGAGTTTTCCAGAGAGTGTCCCACAAGACTGTCTTGTACAAGAGTGTCCAACCGGCCCGCACGCCAAAGTTATCCAGGTAGAAAGTCGGCCGGTCACCCATTAGACTAGGACTCCAAAAATGGCATTGATATCTTCTGATGTTGTAGGCATGCTTCGTAGCCAAAACAAGGGCCAGCTGCAGAATTGTAGGACGGCGCCAAGCTGCAGAATTTTAGGACGGCGCCAAACAAAGGCAGTCTCATCGAAAGTAGCGTGGCCGACCGGCACACCACACCGGACAAAATGTGCAGTTCTGGCTCGCTCGCTGTGTTGCTTTGCCTCGGGCTGCTCGCTCATGCCGCTGACTGCCTGGAGCCCGGTCTGCACCACCCCTCGGCAAGCGCAGGCTCAGTTGGTCGTTCGCCTGTTGCTGGTTGCAACCCTGCTCAGCACTGGAAAGGAGGTGCCACAGGGCTTGGACGCCCCTGCTGACCTTACGTGGTCAGTCAGAGAACAAAAGTCGACGGGGTGGACTGTGGTACGGCTGGTTGACCGGTCAAACTTCGTTCCATGGAGGACGGACCCTATGGTCATGGAGTTCGACGCCCTACAAAGAGAGCAGCCGAACCTCAAGTGGCTACATGCATATTTGACTGCCTTTTTTTCGGATCAGTTGCCATTGTGCAAAAATTGTGCGCGGAAGAGGTCCGCAGACATTCTGGGAATTATTTCAGCGCACATTGTTCTGTTAACAGGGTGCTCTCCAAGTGTGTTTGGCTTGTATTGAGGCCAGGTGCTACACACCGTGTTTCCGCGAAGCGCGCTGTCTTTGCGACGTTTTGCCCCTAGAGCTCAAAATTCAAACACACCGTGGAGGTACCCCACTTGAAAAGCAAACTGCTCGAGATATTCACGACGGACCACCCTCGCCGCTTTTTCAGCCAAAGCAACCAACGAAACAGACTGCACGGCCCTTACGTGGAGGCAGTCTTCATACTACAGCCACGTGGCAGAGGCGTGGGAGGGGTATTCCAAAACAATGTATAGGGCGCCGTGGTTTCGCAAGAAAACACACGCTGCAGGTGGAAACCCGATTGGACCGAAACGGCGTCTACCACATGGACACCTCGGGGAACAGTGGATCTACGGTGATGCCTCGGAGCTGACGATCAAAGGCAAGTACAGCCACAACAATGTAAGCGTTTTACTTGCGTCCACAGCTCTTGGGGAGGCATCGTCTTCTACCGGGGGCGACCATTTGATTGAGCCCGCGCCATTCTCACCATGCCCACATTGCAAGCCACTTGGATGCAAATAGGCACAGTGCAACCTTTATGGCAAGACGTGTATACCAGACACTCAAGAAATGGATGCCAAACACCCCGCGATGGCTGACAGGACGTTCTCGCCACTTTCCCTCCCGGATAAGCGGACTGGCGCAAGAAACTCGAGAACAAAGGCTCAACCAACAGAAGAAAATATGGCGGCGGCCGCCGATTGAACGAGGTGTGTGAAATGCTGAGCGCGCGAGGTAATGGCCTCAAGGCTCGCTACCGCTGCGAGCGCCACATGGTCAAAAAAAGCAGCGTCGACAGTTTCAAACACGGAGGTTCGAAGGCTTTTCCAGTCCAAAAACATCAACAATGAAATCAAACACCTGGAAATGGAAATGATTGGCTTCAGTTGCAGTTGGCAAGCCACAGATGTAAACAAAACTTCCAACGGGAAGCCATGACAGCAACAATGGATCAAAAGGACTGAAAATATCACGACACCTTCACGTTCAGATTGCAATCGGTATATACGTCGTCCTTCTATCTTCCACCGCCTCAGAAACCATGCCGCAGCGATGGCTAGGTCGTTCTGGCAATACGCATATGCTCGTTGGGTTGCCTGAGAGCGAGGCAACGCACGGACTGCCTAAACCGCCTTCTCGAAAGTGAAAACGCGGCTCCGCATTCTCGCCGACAGTTTCTTAGAAGGTCCAAGCTGGCATTTGCCTGACCTCCAAATGAGTCGAAACAAGAAGCCCGGTAATATGTATTCAGTAAGGAAGGTTCCCAGAGGTTCAGAAATCGCTTGGCCAGCGCTTGGTATTCTGGTGTTTAAAGTGGATATGTTACCTCGTCGCGCTAGCAAAACGCAGGGCTGCGCTAGGTTCACGCTAGGTTTGGCGCTAGGATCAAGTACTTAGTTAACTTAGATAAGATTAACAAGCAACACATACATGTATTGGTCACTAAACTTGTTGATGGGTCATACAACACACACACACACCCGCAGAGACCCAAGAGCAGCAACTGTTTGAAAGGCAGCAAAAGCGCCGACAAAGGCAGCTACCGTTTGAAAGGGAGCGACTGTTTGAGATAAGACAAAGCGAGTTCTTGATCACAGACGTTTGGTGGCCTCATGCACTGACAGGAAGCGCGCTAGGTCCGTGCTAGACCCGCGCTGGATCCGCGCTAGACCTGTTTGCATCTTTGACCACTTGTCCAAGTGCTGAGCAGGGCCTACTACTCTCACTTTGGCAAACATACACACAGACGCGCGAGTGAAGAAAGTTGAAAAAACAAGAAGGGCAGCTGCTGGGGTGGGGGCGGGGGCTTTGTATACACAAAAAAAGATAGGAAAACCATCGACCGTAGCTTGACAACTTGTTTCTGGGTGCAGGAGGACGGTTACTTTCAGCTTCACATCATGGACTCTGTAAGTAAGAATGCAGCAGTTAAAAGGGCATGCACAACATACAACCATATACATGAGCGCATGTTGTGTACATGATAGCCACCGCTTGGAATTGCTGTGACTTCAACCTAGGATAATGATTATAGAACGGTTTTTTCAACTCAAATGGAGTCCCTGCTTGTGGCATCTTGACGATTCATGACCTCACTCTGGGAACTCCAAGTCAGTCACTTCACATTGATTCGACTGCAATGGATCACTACCAGATTTGGTCAGATTTGATTGGGTCAGGTTACATTACATCAACTGATTAGATTTTTGGTCCACTGAATTGCACTACTGGATCACTACTTCGCATGTCGCACGTCAGGTACAAGACCGTCCGACCCTCAGCTGGAGACTGACACAAGTGGGAGATCTGGAGGAATCCTTGATTTGAGGCCCTTTTTGTTGTTTTCCTATCCGGCTCCAGCACAACAAATCCCATTGGCTCCAGCTGTCTCGGGCTCACCTGGGTGCGACCATGGGAGGGTGGAACGGGGAGACCCCCTAGTTCGACCTTTGCAGGAAAAATTAGAACATAGATCCCCAACAACCATGGGGAATATGGGTCTCCCAGGGTCTCCCTATTTTCAACCACAAAGTAAGCCACGTGTTGCTTCAGTCCAGTTGAGATGTTGTAAGGTTCACGCCCTTGCAAACTTGGGGCACACCCGATGTGACTCCTGAACTCATGACCAAGCGGACGGTGACCCTGGACAAGGAGGTGCTCATTTGCCAAAGACCCGTTGATTGCTGGTGAACAGCTAGCAGCTAACTCCTTCATAACATGAGGCATCATGAGGCCATGTGGTGCTTCAGAGGGCCTCAGAATTCGTTGTTTTCCGTCCAACAGCTGGACAGACCAGGTGGAAGCCTTGCGGCGGAGAATGGAGATCACAGAGGGGAGACTCAGGATGCCATCGGGGGCAGATCGGGACACCGTATGTTGGTTTAACAACGCCCAAGGGAGTTATGCGAGTTATACACTTGTTGTACATGGACAGCGACTGATGGGAAAGATCAAACCAGAAAGTTTGGAATTGTTCAGCTTAGGTGTATAGCCAGCCAGCTGCGTGACTTGGGGAATGATAAGCTTGGTACATTGCGGTTCACAGCTCACGAAGTGAAGCAAGTGTTTGTTGGTTGGGCAAACCGTTTCTGAGCCCGCCCACCAGCCCAGTCAACCCTTTTGTACGACAGCCTTGACACACCAGCATCACAACAGGTTGAACATCGTGAAATACTCAGCTCTTATCCACTGGCAGCTTGGGAATCAACATACTGCAACTAGTTTGGAATCGGAATTGGAGGACCGTCACATCAACTTGGGGCTTTCACATCCCTCAAGATCCCCGGTCTAACTGTGTCCGACCCTAAAGGCCTGTGTCACCCCGACTCTTCCGGGATCATTGCCTCCCGTGCGTCCAAGTCCCGTCCTTCCCTTCCTGCAATACATGAGAACCTGAAACATGAAATCATCATGACCACCCGAGCAGCTCGAGTTGTCATGTATACCTTCTGCGTTTTGCCGTCGGGTGGAAGATATCTTTTTTCCACAGTCGCCATCCGAGTTGGACAACGCGACATCCAACCGATAGAGCCCTTCGAACTATCAAGGAATTCGATATGATCGGATATGTGTGTGTAATATGTATTTGTATATATATATACACATACATGGATACAGGAAGAGGTCGATTTTTGGTGTGTGTTGAGGCTGTTTGACTCATACGCCATGTTCTGCGTCATGTTTGAGAGTGCCATCTTAGTTTGGATTCCTATAATAGTGGGTATTGGAGTAGGGGTATGTAGGATCACGGACTGATCGAAGAGCTGCGCTCATGACCCTCGATGACCGCCGAGGCCACCAACATCAAGCTCTTCGCAGATGGGCCTGACAGCCCCAGAGAACGCGGCGATATGATGCGCGCTTCATCCATCGACGATGCGGCGCACCAGGGGGGGCCGTGGCTGGACCAGGGCGGCTAGACTTGTCATGCGAAGGTTTGTTTGGTTCGATTATTGTCTAGAGTCTAGACGCCGAAAGAATCCATGGCATATCAAGCCATGTGATTTTCTGCAGCACGAGATCGTTGGGTTGTTGATAGAGGTCTGCGCCATGCGCTCCTTACACCTTCCAAGATTCCCTGTAGTGGAGGGTTTATTGAAACTAAAATGTCGAACCGCACCTGACTGGCATAAACAGCAGTTTGCTTCGGGTAATGTACAAACTGTTACAAGCCCGGCATCCTGCTGGCTGGATCAAGAGGGTACTTTCCTGTAACTCTATCCCTCATGTTCTTTCCACATCGAGCGGTGAGGCTGTTGCTGACAATGGACATGTCGCTAGAATGCCCTTTTTTAGCCAGAACCTACCACAACATCCATGGCACAACTTATTCGTATCACTGTGTTGGACAGATAGGGCAACGCACCGTGTATGCATGAAAGACAGCATGACCCCCAAATATACAGTAGGATTGCTGACTGGCACTTAGTAGGGAATGAGGGAATGAGCCCCCAATAGAGATTCCTTTGGATCCATTCCAGTGCTTCCAGTTTCCATGATTGGAAAAAGAAGGACAGACCATGACAGACCCATGGTCGCATGGTCGGGTATACTCAAGACGGGTCTGTTGTAGCCGTTGACCATTCCCGGTTTGGTTGTGCAGTCTCAAGAATATATACCCTAGGATTCCAACCACCAGTGTTGCCCATCGACATCAAACAACCAGTAGTTTTTTACTATGCTTTTACTATAAGGATTCTAGACTACGAAGCTAGCTCAACCTTAGTCTCAACTTATAAGTGTTCCGACTCAAGGCCAGGAAACATGTTGTTTTTTTGGCCCAACTTGCCGTTTGGGGGCCGGAGCCCGAGGCAACCGCGCAACGTGGTGCTCGATGCAAAGTGAGGTGCTCGCTGACGGTCGGCAAACAGATTATGTTCATATAATCCCAGAATCCATAGAATTGAGGGACTGATGTCCCAGATTCCCATTCAGGTCATAGGGTTTGGACACAGGGACACCTGCCGCAAAAACAAGCGATGGATTATATATCATATAATAGACCCCAACCTGAGTTCCAATAGTTACACATCATCGACCCATCAAAACGACATGCAGTCGCCTAGTCTATAGACTTCAATATCTAAAGCTTCGCCTTGTCGCATGCAGTCGAACCTTTTTTTCCCAAGCGCTTTCTTCGGGGCGCCTCGATTTCAACTCGTCCGCCGGCTGCAGCCGCGGAGCGCGCTGCCTTTGTCCGGCGGAGTTAGCGGGGGTGAGGCACCCTATAGCCACGCACGAGGTCCACGCGCGCGGCGGAGGTCGGCAAGAAGTCCGGAGTCCGCCGGCGATGTCGGTGAAAATACCGTGCGGTGTGGCGCGGAGCGTGGGCGATGTGTGGCCGCCAAGTGCGATGAGGGAGGGACGATGGATGTGAAGCCCTATAGAAGAAGCAGGATGGAAGAAGCGAGCTGAACAAAGCTGAACAAGAGAACTATATGGTGGCACTTACTTGATGGTTCCCATGTACTGTGATGAGCACATGCATGGAAACCTGAGCATTTGGGGCTGAAGTCTCAGGAATTTAGATTGCAGAGATCAGTGATCAGTAGCTGGCATGGTAATTTGGTTCTTTTTGTTTTCCTCCGCCAGCCAATTCAGGGTTGTGGAAAAGGAAAAGGTGTGTTGTGTTTGTTTGGCATTAAGTACCATTGCCGCTCACATAACTCACATAATTCTATAGAGTGTGCAAGTATGTTTTTGTGGTATTTGTGATGTTATCCTGCTATCTTTACTCATAGCGATCAAAGGTCGTTTGGCACGAGAAGAGGTAGATAAAACCCAGGTATATACCTCCAAGAGGAAGACAGCTCGTAAACCAAACTCATTGAAACACTTTCAAGAAAAAACACACACACACAAATACATTCAGTCATATTGATCATGTCCTGTTGGGGTTGCTTAATTTTCGATGAACGAGGTTGACGCAAAACCAGAAGCACAATGCCCGCGTTCGTTTGAAAGGGTCACTCTTCCAAGTGTTCTGGAAGCGCTTGATGATGTTCCAGCTGGAAGACGGAGAGCTTTGGCAGATCCTTTTGTGATGACTCTGTCTTTCAGCTCAAGAAGATGATTAGACTGAGCCACGTGATCAATCATTCAGCATCCACATAGCCAATCAGAATCATGGTTTTCACCAGTAGACAGCATTGAGCACAGGCAAGATCACTGGTTTAATTACAGCACTGGCATTGCCTGCTACTCAGCAATGATTGTTCTAAATGTGTCCACCATCTATATAGTCATAAAAATAGTTAAATGCCGAACGTGTCTTCAAACCCCGCCCGATGAGGATTATATGCATGTAATTCTCCAAGCCTGCAGCCCCAACCCCCTGGTGAAGACTGCAACAGAGCCTGCTCGAACAGGCTAGCCGAGCCACCACAAGAACTGCGCAAAATAGCATAACATCCAACTTCCGAGTGAGACTTTTTGCCTTACCTTTGCCTGGCTACGCCTTCTGGGTGCCAGCTCCAGTGAGGGCCAGCGCCGGCGTTCCGGTCACCGAACAACATTCGGAGACCCCATGCAATGGAGTCCTGAAGACGCGGCGCCCGGCCCTGAGTCACTGAGAACGTGTGGTGAGAATCGCTCAGTTTGCATGGCCAGGCCAAAGTTCTCAGGAAGATTGGCCGAACTGGTCAAAGCATTAAGCATTTGTTGGGAGGTGTCCAACAGCAATTTATTGTTCTTGTCAATCCTGCAATCCCAACGACGTTCACTTGTAAGTTGACTCTGGGCTAGGATTGGAACATGGGCAGTCGACTGGAAGACCAAAAATAATCAAAATTCCAATTTCACAAACACCCGATGTGTTTCTTGTCTTCCTCTTCGTGCGTTCGAGGGTGCGGCGCTTCTTCGAAACTGGATGGGAAGAGGCGCATCTCCAGCAAGTGGGACCAGGGCAGAGAGAATTGATCTCCTTGAAGCGGTTGTCGCCAAGAGGCAAAGCTAGAATGTGTTGCTGACCTTGAAGCTGCTGGTTGTGCGCGGAAGCAAACGTCGTCCAAAGGTCATTGTTTGAAATTGACAGACTATGACAGGCTTTGCCCACTTCTTCAGTGTTTGTCTCCGTTTGGCAGACCTAAGTTGGTGCTACATGTTCATGCTTTGTAGAGAATTCTTGGGAACCTCTGGGCGACAACTCATGGGTCCATGTTGATTTCATCCCATTGTTTTCAGGTCACCTTGGCAGCCTACAATGAACACAAGAACACATATTACAAAAGCACATTCAAACGCATTCTAACAATATATCAAAGGCATAATTTATATATATATATAATATATACTGTGTTAAACCAAAATCACGTACTTGTTTCAATGACCATACTTTTGAGCTACAGATAGTTTTGTGCGGCTGATTAGAAGCTGCCTGTTTCATGACTGTTGACTAGAGGACACTTGTTTGAACATGCTGACATTTTTCAGGCTCTATGCCACAACTTGCTGTGTGCAAACCAGGACCCACAAGAGGTAGTTAGTGGAAACTCTTCAACCACCATGAAATGGCTCACAATCTGTTCCTTCTTCAGGGTCTGTCAGAATATTGAATAGTAATATGTTGGATCTGGCCTATTACCTGTAACAGTCAGTATATAAATGGAACAAGGATGAACAAGGCCTTTACTGACCATCATCATCAACTCTTCACCACGGCAATAGACTTCAGCATGTTCTTCTAGGCCTTGTTCTTGTTTGTTATTCTAGCCCTGATGTGCTTGAATTTACCCACCAGGTACATCCAAGTTTAGTGGGTTTCAGGGACGTTTGCATGGCGGCAGGGATGTCCATATTGTTTGTGATTCTTTATCTTGGCAGAACATCCAGAAGCGAAAAGGAGCAACTCAAAGGGTCCAAGAAATGGTTGCGCCAGAATTCTGAGCTAGTGACGCCCAGAGCCAGAATGTTTCATTTCCTACTTTTCCTTTATTATGTTATCTAATATAAGAAAAAGGTAAGAATACATCCCTCATTTATCATCATGTCTTCTTTACAGCTCAGCAGAATCCACAACATTGAACATGTTCCATAAAAAACAAACATTTCGATCATAGAAAAGAATCTGAGAACAAGTCCACACCCTTTGGGGGAGGTCATGTCCCTATTGATGTCCCTCATGTCCACTCCATGTTCCTTTAGGTTGAGACCTTGGGCCGCGGTGCCCGTGGGCCGGTCGTGAGCATCCGCCGCGCCGATGGGCGAGGTGAGGAAGTCAGGGCGATGGACACTTCACGTGATAGAGAAGTCAGGGGCGATGGATTTCGAGGATTTCATTGAAATTCTCATGATAGGTTTCATAGGTTCAGAGCGACGTTTTCTTCTAGCAGTCACTGAAGGCATATAAGATGTGTGTTTTGTTTATTGTTTGGTAGGACTGTAGGACTGTTGCCGTAGTACGGAGTTTGTTGCCTTTTGGACCAGGGTTTTATTGTGGCGGTTCACATTTGCATATATTCAGATCACTTTATTCTTTCAAGGGGGAATAGAGAGTTCATCATTTCTGCACATGGTGCTCAAGAGGGGTCGTATGATGTTCAAAGGGGTTTCGCAGGGTTTTCCAATGAGTACTACAGGTTTCCTTGGTATTAGTTGTGAAGGGGGTTGGTTTCAGTTTGACGAACAGGGTGGCCTGACTGGGCCAGTTTTCCATGTCTGACTGTACATGTTCACCGATACCAAGTTTGCATGTATCACATATATCACATTGGAACTCGTCTTCAGCTCTTAGTTTCCATGTTTGTGACCTGATCGGTGTTTTTTCTCTGTATCTACATGTTTTTTTCCCACCTCTTCCACGTCTTACCTGATTCACTGAAGGGATCTGGTGACGGACTTTGTTGCTCTTCAGCTCTGCTCCTAACCACACCCACTCGGAGCTCGTTGCTTCGCAGCGAACCCACGCGCCTGGCCGCCTGGCCGATCCTCGGCTCCGCCAGGCCCCATCTCGGCACTGAAGCGATCCACTCACCATGAGGTGCGACCACCTGCACTGGCGCGTGTTGAGCGGTGGGAGTCAGCGGTGGGAGTCAGCGGTGAGAGTGCTGAGTCATTATGATAGGCTGATGAGCTGATCTCTGAAAAAAGACAACAACTGGCGTGGCATTATTTGAATCTGCAATTTCTATCACTTCTCCTACGAGTTTTGGCAGTGGATTGGGGTCGAGCTGAAGACTGTTAAGCTGGAAGATCTATCGCATAGGACTGCAATCCACTCCCCGCGGGATCCCTCTTGATTTTGGAGGATGTTAACAGGGCTGCTTCTTGTAGATGAACCTTGAGGCTTTCCAAGATCCAAAAACCAATTTGTGAGCTTCTGTGACCCCAACATGGTAGAACAATGGGAGTTTGTGTTCAAGATGTTTAATTATTGGACATGAACTTGCAGGGGGCCAATGCAACTGCAAATAAATAAAGAAATGCAGTGTCCAACAACTTGTGAAGGATCCAGGATGATGTTGTTATTCCTTTTGGTATCGTCTTTTTGGGTCGCCTTTCTGTGCAACATTCTGGGAGTATATGCCCCACACGGGAGGTCTGACACCAGTTGGTTGGACACAGGCATTGTTGAAAGAAAAGCGGGTCGATCTTCAACATGTTGGACACAGGAATAGTTAAAGTTTAATCCTCTTCTTCTGGGGAATATGTCTTGAACTTTGTTCCAGGATCCTCGGTCGCAAATCGATTTGGAGGGTCGCGAATTTCCTTCGACCGAACTTCCACGCCCAGACATGCTGCTTAGGTGGAAGCATTGAAGGCGCTGAGCAATTGTAGGCCTTGGGCTGCAACGCACAGACATGCTTCGGCCGCTGTCGTTGGGTGGTTGGGAAGGTTCTTGTCCCTTCCTACTTGTGAGCATCCCAAGTATTTCCATGTGGCTAGTTTGCTACTTCGGCCATGTGTCCACTGTTCACACCATGTGATCCAACTGGTTGCTCAGTGTTACCATTGCCGCAGTTGCACGTTTGCAATACTGCCAAAAAAAAAAGACTAGCTAGTTTGACGTGACGTTTGCCCGTGTTTGGCCTGGGGATTCCAGTTGCCATCAAGCATTGGCAAGACACCCAAAGCAAAACCAACGGCTTTGCGAAAATACGTGGATTGGTGTCGTAAGGCTTACTTGGAGGGGTCCTTTACAGTGCCCATTCGAAGCAAGTCCAGCTTCGGTGAACGGTGCGACTGGTAGGCAGGATAGGATGTCGGACTAGGCGAATTGGTCATCCACGACCGAAGCTGTCAGGTGGCCAACCATGGCACCCGGAGCCCTCAATAACCGTAGGTTGACCTCCCAGGTACTCTATTCGGTTCATTTGACGGTCAACCAGGGTCCCCCGGTGTTGACAGAACCCCCCAAGGTTGGAACCAACGTTTGGTTTGCACGCCACTTCATCCCGGTCTCCATTCCCTCCATCCGGCACTCATGTTGATGTGTAGTCAATACGGAACGGGGCCCGAGTCTTCGAAGTGATCGCACTAGAGGACCGATATGCAAGACTTGTTAACATCTCGAAAATGCTTGGCTTGTTCAGGACTGGAACCTGCTTGTTTTGCTCAGAAAGTTCTTCTTTGGCTTTATTAAGGTAGCCACTTTCTAACCAGGCATGTGCTCAGGAGTTTGCTGTTTGCCACCCAACTTACTGAAATGGACAATGAAGTTTCTGGATGTCCAGAAAGAGTACAGCATGGTGTTGTTTTCCATGTTTTTCCCCTTTTGTCTCCATGTTTTTGACAAGCAGGGAGCCCTCGCACTTCTCCGGATAGGAACATTGTGGAACTGGAAGAGATCTTCCTCTGCAGCGGTCAGGCAGTGAGGGAACCAATTGGTTTGATGTGTTCTCCTTCCGGCATGGTTCTGGTGAGTTATGTTGGATTGGTTGGATTGGGTTCATACGTGTTCCAGCATCACATTTCGTTTTACGATCGGTAGATGTCATCGGATGTCATCACCATTGATTGAGGGGTTCTGTCAAGTTTCCAGAGTCCTGCCTGCAACTATTTTGGGTGCAACTATTTTGGATGATCCTGGATCCTAATCAAATGCGTATATAGTCACCCGAAAACAGATGGATTAAAAGGATAATCCCCTGCTTTAATCATGTATTGGACATCGTTTCTACCCATTTGGGGACCTCTATGCAAGTAACCAAGAGTGAGCACACATAGCCACGTGCACCTCTACTAGAGAGGCCCACCAGTACTTGACCTGCTGTTCGTGGGAAAATACAACAAATTGTTACTGGAAAGCAAGCCACGGGAGTCTCATTCACCAAACTCTCAGTGTTTGTATGTCATGGACACAGACCAACAAAAGCAGCAACACCTCCAATCAACACCTTGAACGCATCTTTACATAAATGTGTAAGATGTTACGCCTGTTAGAACAAGAGCAAGAACGATACGAGTTCCGTGATGAACTAGGCCTGAACCACGTTCAGCACCGACGAAGAACACCCTTCAATGGCCTGTCATCTGCCACGATGCAAAACAACCGACGACGGATGCTCGGGTTGTGATTTGAGTCGCCGCAGGTGTTGGCCCGACTGGAGTGCATGGAGGGTGGATCCTTTCGATCCTACCTACGGGCCCCGGGGACGCAAGGTGGTCACGTGGAGGGAGCGAGGTGGTTGGTGAGCTGGTCATGTGGTGGTCAGTGTGGGAAAAAACCGAGTTGATGCCAAGTTTGTTGCCACTGCCGGGGACCAACTCAGTGAATTATTGGTTGCTTGAATTGGAATTAGTTATACATTATCCTCCTCCACTTACAAGTACATGAGGTGAAGCAAGGAAGAACTCTGTAGGTGTAGTGTAGGCGTCATATGTAGGGGGCATGGCACCCAAAATGTTGCGACAAGTTTAGAGGTATAGTCTAGTTCTGGTTCATTCCTTTTTGTTGATGCTCCAAACTATCGTGGTTGTGAATTTGCTTGGTCTAGTCTTGCAGTCAGAGGCTCAAAAGATTACACAGGTCACACCTGACCATGTCTAGTTTTTTTCATAGTTTTTCCAACATGTCAGAGAATTGTTTGCTCCAACTGCAAGAACCAGGCCGTACAGGGTGCGTCAGTAAGAGGTGTAGAGAAGCAGCAGCTTTGACCCACATGGAGGTTCCTGAGCACGGAAGTTGCCCATATCTTGGTATACTTTATATACTGCTACTCAGATTCTCTCAAACCGGTGCAGAATGGCCAGAATTCTGAAGGCTCCTAAGGGAGCATCGACGTTCCGTTTTAGAGAGGACACGTCAAAGGCTCCGTCCGATTCTAAGGCACCATTGTGGAAGCCAAACATCAAAGGTTTGCACGTCATGGTGGGAAAACACCTTAGAAAGAATTGGATATGTAACATACTACAGTGTGGGACAGTCAGTTAGAATGTAAAAAATTCCCACGTGTACTATATGATGATCATGATGTTCTCCAACTCTTTGATCTGAACGCTTTCGACGAATCACCCGCTCACGCCCAGGCCCGACCGCCTGGACGGGTGTCTGAGGAGAGAATCGTTCCGGGCTGCGGTGACCTTCTGTAAGACATGGGCGAACGGGGGGTTAAACCAGCATCGCTCTACAGGTTCGGTCTGAAACCATTGAACACCAGATCCTGGTCCCTGGTCCCAGCCAATCCGAACATCTTTGTAGTTTTTGTTAATGTATTTTTGGTATGATCAACTCCAGAAAACGGAGGTCAGTCCCTGACCTGTAGGATGATATGTACGGTATAAGGTTAATTACAAGGTTTATATAACTTACCAATAAGAATCATTGGACCTTCCTATGGAGGGTTTTGACCCTGCATAGCAGGGGATTGGACCCTCAAAACCTTCAGCTTTGAGGGTTCTTTGAGGGTTCTCGATTCCTTAGGATATATATAAATTATAAATTAAATCAAATTATTATATATATATATAATATTAATCAATAAATATATATATATATATTCTATTGCAGTGCAACAAATTTCCCTGCAAAACACATATGCGTGTTTCCTCAGCTCCAGTCCTACTTAGTTAAACCGGCACTTTGCCTACTCAGTTTGCATGGTCTCGATTCTGTTGGCTTCCATGTTGAACTCGCGCTCCTCTTTACAGGTGCATTAAAATAGGCAGAGCTCGTGGAAGAAACATAGACCAAAAATCAAAAACACATTACTGGTTGGAGATCCCTATTAAAATACACACCAACCAATCACACCTTTCTGGGTACAACAGTAAAACCGAACGAAAACCCCGCACATGTGAAACACACGGTGGTTTGCAATGCACGCGATCTCCCCCCAAAAGGCACGTGCATCATTGCGACAAAGTCTCCTATTCGGCACGTGGTATGAATTGAACCTGAGTGACCTCTATTTTGGATCACCAACCACACGAAATATGGTCCTTTCCTATCAACGCAGCGGATGCACCTGTGCTCTAGGTACTCGTATCTATGACTCGTACACGTGAAAGCATCGCCCCAGCGCTGGTTGGACAGAGCCGCTCCGCGCAGGACGTGGTCCGCTATGTGGTGGGACAAGTCCTTGAAGGTCAGACTGTCGCAGACTGCATTGGTTGGTTGGCGTTGTCGCAGACTGCGTCTCGGTGGATCACTCATGCAAAGGCTTGGGACGTCAGCCTGCGGGGGCATGCGGGGGGGGGTATGCGGATGGTAGAGGGAGGTTTGCCAAATCCACACACCTCGGTTGCACAACTCACTCGCAGCACGGGACGCAGCGCTGGACATCGATCAGGACCCCAGGGTTTGGTTGTCAGATGAGACAATGGTCTCCAGAGTTAACAGCTGAGGCCAGAAACAAAGAAGCCATACTCCCCGGAAGACTGGACGAAGACTGGACCCATAACCCTGAAAGCATCACTTGGTTGGTGGCAAGCAATCTTCTATTGGCAGGTTGTCAGGGTGCATATTATGAGTTTGGGAGTCTAATCCTGCCCCTTTCCGTGAACTGCTCGAGCTGTTGCATGCTGGAAGTTGCCGTCGTCAGGTTTGCAGGACATGCACCAAAGTGGGTGGATGCATCGCGACGTGAAGGCTCCGGCTTTGCTCCCATCGATTCGCGGACCGTCGGACGTACGTCGGACGACCGCTTCAAGAGTCTGATTGGTTTAAAGAGGTTATAATATACCAGTCCGCCTGGCTTTGCTTAAGGTGATGTTTTACTATCCCTATGGGTGAATCCCTATTATATCAGGTATAATACCATGATTTTTTGTGAGACCTCTTTTTACTTCACAACTTCTTAGCGTTGGTTTTTATATTGGGCCCCCCCCAAAGGATCAGGAAGACGGAGCCGGCGGGTCAGCGAGATGGGTGGACCTTCGGACGAACATGTCTTTTGATAACAACATGTGATGGGGTTTATACTTGCCACCTACTTGGCCGAAGTTGCGGTGTTTTGTTGGATAGAACCCACATATGTGTTTTTTTTTTCCAGCAACACCAGGTGTTTCACCATCCCGAAGGCCCTGAAAGGCAGCCGCGGAATCTGTGCATGTCAACGCGGCACAGTCCCAGCGAATACACAGGGCTCTGAAAGGGGTAATTATGCAAAACCTTTTTGGTGATTCCTCTGGGCCTGTGTGAATCTACTCATCTACTCGAACATTCGGTAGAGATGTTTGCAATGAATTGTTTCAAGAGAAAAGCACAACACATCTGCAATCCTCACCCCAAACTGACTATCGCACTAAGCTTTGTCAACAATCTCACCTCCAGCCACTCTACTTTGTCCCATCTGAATCTATCTAACTCCAGCCACACCGGTTCTGCTTCCTTCCCAACCTCCACACCCGCCGCGGGCAAAAAAAAGAACCGTCGTCTTTCGGGAGGCGGAGAACATTGGCCTGGGCTGTGAGCTCTCCAGTTGGGGTGCCGCGCTCGGCACTGTTTCTTTCGCCCGGATCGGGTTTGGGCACGGACGACGGAGGTTCTACCATCCGCCCGCGCGCGCCGCGGTGTGCGCGGCAGGTTTGGTTGAAGCGAAGAGGGGTTCGTTTCTACACAACAGAGTGAGATCGTTCTTTTTGGTCATAGCCATAATAGCTGTCAGGGTGTTCTTCTTTGGTCATAGCTGTCAGCATCTTCACCCAAGCACCATGCCAGCAGGCAGTACTCATACCGAGACCTGAGACCTTGCATGGACACACACATGCATGCAGAGGAAATGGCCATAGTATGCCATAGTTGAATTTGATTTCCAGTCCTATTATACTCATAGATGCCTGTCCCGGTTTGTGGACAACAGGAACCGAAAGCAGCCTGTCCCGGTTTGGAAGAGACTGTGTTCTGCAGGTGGACTTCAATGGTGTCAGGTCAGCAGGTCACCCTTCATCCCACCTTGCGAGGTCCCTGATGTCTCGCCTTTGAAGGGTCTGGTGTGAGCGGAGAAGAACGAAAGCGGGACAGAAAGCGGGACGGAACTGACTCTGAAGAAGCCCAAAACGACTGAGTTTGGAGCAGTTGTAAAGTGTTTGGCAATCCCGATCTCACAATCAGATATGTGTGTGCACCCCATGGATAGTCTATGAGCCTTTGAGTCCTCTGAGTATAGATTGAAGAGGCCTTCTGCGCACTGGAGTGATATCTGTCCCATCCATCGCCATCCTTCGATGCTCCCACAGGCTATCGCGACTGCACGGTGAAGGCGCAGTGTCGTGCGGTGTCGTGGCCTAGGCCGTGTGAGGTCGAAAGCAAGTCGGAGAGCCAGCAGGGCCGGATGCACCGTCCTAATCCACCCCACATGGTTTTGGTTTAAATAGCGGGAGATCCCAAACCAATGGGTAGACCCAGTCTTCCCTTCCTGCTATGGGGTCGTTGCCTGGGAGGTCTCCCTACTTTTACTCCACACCCACAGGAGACCTGGCGCGTTCTACTGCAGAAAAGCCGGTCTTTCCGCGGGGATTTGCAGCATGGATTTGATCTGTTGGACCTTTTCATGTACCTCGACCCAAAGTACCCTTAGAGAAAATGGTGACCCAAAAGAGAGACTTGTGCCACAGTCTCCAAAACATGCACAATACCCTGCAAAAAAAAAGAAAACGCCTGCAACCAGGTGGTGCCCTGTTGTCCTTTACGTCTTTACGTCTAGTTAATGTCCCCAAGTTTGGGTGTTTTGAGCAGTCTGTGTTTGAGACATTCCTCAACCTGTTGAGACTCCGCTCCCCTCCGCGGCCGCCACCGGAACCGCAGCTCCTGGACTTCGACGTGGCCGTGGAGGTCGGCTGCGGCGGGCTCTCCGAGGCGAGAGCGGCGGAGCGGAGTGGATCCCAGTCGGTGAGAAGGTGTGTGTTTTGGGTTGATGGGTGCTATAGGGTCCAGGGGTCCAGTCATACCTTCTGAGAAGGTATGACTGGATTTCTATAGGGTCGCAGTGCAGGTGGGGATGGGTCGTGAAAGCGGCCAAGACCAACCTGCTCGGTTTGTCACCGGTCTCCTGGTGGGGTCCGCCATGTTAGACCATCCTGTTGGGCTCCGGTTTCAGAGGCTTTGGTGAGATGAGAGTTGCTTTGGCTGAAAAGCTTTGCTGATTTCACCTATGCTCGAATGGTCAGTTCGTTTTCCGGTTCTTTCTGCCTGGATCTTCCAACGTCCCAAAGTATATATGCTCCGCAAATCAGTACACCGCCAATGAGTGCAAAACACATCCACAAAAACCAGGAAACAACCGCGACCACAGAACCAAAGGGACCAGAAATTGTTGGTTTGTATAGTTGGAAGGTCAGGTGGAGGATGTTGTTAGAGGGAAGAAATAACATGTTTTGGAGTTGACCACACTGATAGACATAGGGAAATCACAAATCATGTTGGTTTTGGATATTTGCACTGGATCCAGGAAGTTTTGTAGCCCATCATTACTAAAACCACCTGTTTCGGGGTGTCCTGGGGTGTCTATAATATAAACAATATAAACATGATGTAATAGATTAAATAATTGGCTCCTTGGAGCTTTTTCGGGGTGTCCATGAACCGGAATTGTCCAGGTATGGCCTTCCTCCTCGATCTGCCTTGCTTCCTCCAGTCCTCTACTTCAGCCACCGGTTCTCCTCGCCCGATCCACACAGGTCATTGGTACCGTGGAGAACATGGCGCCGGAGGTGGGAAGCGACCCGGTGAACTCGCTTCGGTGAATACGATGGAAGAACGCAAGGTGCACACAGTGCAGCAGTTTTTCACCCCAGACAAGCCAACAATAGGTTGAACGGTTTATTGCTCATGATACCTTTTTTCAGCTCAATACATGCACAATACATGACTGCTTGAAAGCTCACCCTTCCAATCTTGATCTGGCTATGTGAGCAAGGGCCAGAACGTGTTATCAAGAGATTTAGCGGTGAACCGCCATGAACTTTGTAAAACCCTGCCATTGCTGTGTGTAGCGAGAGCGATACGGAACTCTGAAGAGCGATACCAGCACCATTCTTCCAACGCGTTTCCAAACTATCAAGTCGCGGGCCTGTTTTGGCACAAAGCTGTTCAGGACTTAGGAACAGAATGGCTAAGAAGAGGCAGCTTGTCCACTTCTGTTCCAGGAAGATGCAAATTCCCGATTTGGACGCCAAGGTCTTTAGAGTGATACCCAAACCAATACCAATACCCAACGATGCCTGGAGCGATACCTCAGGAGTCCAGTTGCAGCCACCTCCCCATGTGACCACTCACTAACGCTACTAGCGTGTCCTCATGCCACGTAGCAAAGAGCTTGTCCAAGGCCTTCGCTACTTGTTGAAACAATGGCTTACATGTGGGGCTTCCAAGAGGAACCACAAAGAATACTCGGGTTGTTTGTTTTTTTGGGGGGGACTCTGTGGAGCGATAGGGAACTTTGAAGAACTATATAGCTGCAGAATTACTAGTAGGCTAGTAGCATCTACTAGCATGTTTTTTCTGCATATGTGTTTTTTTGACTCAAAATAAGGTTCACCCTGTTTAATCCAGCTTCTTTTGGACAGACAGAGCTCCAGTTCGGACCTGCGGTTTGTTCAGGTCTTTAAGGGCTCCTACAATGAGCTGGCTGACATCTGGAGCGGCAAGGGCTTGGGCAGGGCTTGTGGCTTGGGGTTGAGAAAAGGGACTTGAGAGGATACAAGTGGTTTGCCTAGAACCCAGCAGTGCTTGCCTCGAAGGCACCAATGGCCTTCAAGCCCACTTCTAGGTCCTCAGGATGGCGGGATCAAAGTCGATCACGTTTTGGCAGATTCCCGTGATTCATGGGTTACCTGCAATATCCTGGGATTCTCAACCCACAGTCGGATCCATTTCAAGCTCGGTGGGACCGTCATTTCTTTCACCAGATTTCTTTCGTTCTTCCAAGCGTCCGTTTCTCTACCAGCCGCCTCACCTTTCCAGTCATCTCAACGTGGTCACTCTCAGACATCCTCCCTCTCCATTCGTCCACAAACGTTTGGCCAGATAGAGGTCCAAGGTCAGCTGTTGCCCATCCTTGGCAAAGTGTCCAGCCAATGCTGTTGAACGTCAGACAATGCCACCTGGATTCCTTTTGGACCTCGGGGATCAGTGCTCGCGTAGGGCTATTCTGTCCGATCGTGCTGGCGTGAATCGCAATCCAGGGTGGCATACTCGGAGACTTGCTGAAGTTTGGGAGCAACCAACATGAAAACTCTACAGCTGCCCATGTCCGGGCTGCCCGCTGGGCTGACCGCTGTACCGGTTGGACCCAGCTTTGGCTTGTTCGGGCGTTTCGCAGGTTGAACATGTTTGAACGTTCTTTTCAGCCACCCAGATAGCTTTGGGATCCAGTCAAAGAAGCAGTCACACTATCATACACTATCCATTCTTTGTTCAAAATGGGTTCGTTAGCCACTTCCACTAGCCACTTCCAGTTGCTTCCACTCAGCTCACTAATTACATTCCCTCCTCGGGATCGCGGTGCAGACACAAGAACCTCCGTCGTTGACGTGCGTTGCGGGGCCGCGCGCCGCGGCGTGAAGGCGCTTCGGCGGTTCGGCGGTTCTGCGAGGAGTGTGGGAATCATCACCTACGAGGCACTCTATGGCTACCGGCCTTTCAACGATGCCACTCGGACGTGGATGGCACACGACACCGCACGGTCGCGGTTCTCCACGTCGCGGGCTTCGCGAGCCGAGAGGGGCACCCCACCGCGGTGTTCTTGCATGAAAAAATCGGTACTTGGACGAGAGCCTTTTGCAAGGAGAGGACTCCTTTGAGCCTTTGGTGAGAGTGATGTGGCTTTTCCAAAAGGTCGTTGAACCCTTCCAAAAGTTGCCCAGTCCGGATGCTGAAACATCTGAAAGCTTGTCAGGATAAATTAGTGGTACCCAAGTGAGCGTTGTTGAGCTCCCGTTTTCATTTTGCTGTGGTGCCAATTCTTTGAACGTCTTTGTTGTTGACCTTGAATCTCTACTTCAGCACACCCATCATCCATACATCTCTTGACATGTTTGTTTGCCTTTTTTGATCGTCGACCCCCATATCCGCAGCAACACGCGTGGCATGGGGCCGCTGAGGCCAATGTGGATCGCATTGAAGAGATGGTCCGGAACTGGCAGAGGCAGCGGCTGAAGCGAACCAAACCGAAGCCTGTCACGCGGTTTTGAGGGGAGAGGACTGGAGAGGATATCTCCCTGGTCACGAGGGGCGGAAAGGTCTGGCAAGGTGGATGCACAGGTCGATGTGTTGGCATGCATACATCTGACCTTTCTCTCTTAGGTGCATTCTGAGGGTGCAGTCCTGTACTTGAGTTCGAAGTAAGAGTTGCTGTATTCTGGCTCTTGTCCAAGATGTTGGATTGAAACGGATGTTCAAAATCCATGGATGGAAGAGCCGGAATAGCGCTAGTTTAAGCTGTGTGATGCTGGGGCGAGCTGCCGTGAATCTTGGTTCGTCCTCTATATAGTCTTAGTGATTCTGATAACGTACACACTGACTCAGGTGATGATGAAATGGAGAAGGTTTTGTGATGCTCGTGGGCCATGTTAGGGTCATCCAGGCTTCTTGAAGCTATGAGAACTGGTCCTTTGGATGTTGTTTCCCTTCAGGAAAGCCATCGAACGGACGCCAATTTGGGATGACGTCTGACGTGGCTCCCCGAACCCTCACCATCCAAGATACCCCAAGGATTGACGGCTGGGCAACTGACGGGCGAAGCGCGGCTTCGGGGGTCGAGCTGAGTGCCCAGCTGGGGCAGCTTGCTCTCCACCCAGCGAACGGTGGCAGGTACTTGTTGTTTCCCTTTGACGCAGCTGAGCTGTTCGGCACTGAGCCAGCTTTCCGACACGGTGGATCTGCTTCGCATCAGTCTTTTATTGGGATACTCCTGGACATGAAGGTTTCCTGTGCCTAAGTTGCCAAAAAATCAGGACCGGTTGGGTTGTTTCCAGCGGAAAAGGATTGCAGACAAAGGGACGGAATTCGGAAACGGAAACAGGACCTCGACATTTACAGTAGACTGTACAACACATGGTAGAAAGATGTAGAACGTGAATTATGTTGTTATATGAATCTGGAATGTTTCCAACGAAAGGAACAACCGTCACAAATATTATCCAATGGACATGTACTCTATACACCCTTTGGACGGTCTCCATTGTACACCCTTTGGACGGTTCTGGTAGGAACTGCGCATATCTACAGTTTGTTGCAGGCCCATTAGACTCAAGTTGCTTAAGTTTGGGGAGTTCTGTTCAAACAAAGGTGAGCCGCTCGGAGACGACTCCTGACGAACCTTGACATTCAACAGCTTGGACAGCCGGGCAATTTGTGTTTTACAGTAGATGTTGTGCCTGTTTTACCAGCAAGGCATGTCAAGGCTACCAAAATAAATGCTTGCAGATCAATGCACCCAAAAGCAGGGCACTCCAAACCGCTTCGTCCAATGCCCTTCCTGTTGTGGCATTGTTTAAGTGGTGAAAGACCCAACCCACCATCTACTCAAACCTGTGCCCTGTGTAGTGGTTTGTTCAAATTATTGGGATGCGCAAGAGGATACATTGAAGGGCACCAACATGGAAGCAAAGAACGAGGAAAGTGTTTTTCAGAGGCCATTGCCATCCGCTTTGTGTGTTCATCGCCCCGCTCTGGCCACCGGCACCGGCCCGTACCTCTCCATCCCGCCGGACTTGAACAAGCCGTTTTCCCCCCCCTCTTCAGCGTGATCTGAAGCTTGAGCTGCAAAAAGTTGGATCCAGATGAGAACTACAGCTTGTGGCATGAGCAACACGGTTTGTTGATTGGTGACCTCATCGGCGCGTCGGCCCCCGAGGCCTGCCCACTTCATCCGCCTGATGTTGGCGGATCCCGAGGACGGTTTGGAGCAACGACGGTGAAACAGCGCGCGACGACTGCGACGGCGACGTCCGATGCGATGCGAAGGTTCCGGTTGGGGAGGAGATGCCGAAGGGACTCTGAAGGGGTCGTTCGCTCCGCAAGGTGTTCTTGTTCTTGGAAGCGGAAGGGTTTCATGGCATCGTCCTGGCAAGTTTCATCCAAAGTTTTGTCCGAATATGTGTTGTTTCGTCTACAAGTTTGGAGGGCATCGTTCTCCAGAAAACACACCATATGCGTTGGATGTCTTGAGGCTTGAGGTGATGGAAACCAAGGGGGAAGATAGGCAGTAGTTCAAGCAAACATGATGTGTTTGTGGTTTTTCCGGGGGTCATCAGAGGGGCACCCACATGGATTCATGATTGAGGTGTTCATAGCCATGCAGGTGCGAACGTACGCTTTTGGGTCACTGTTCTGGTACTTCCCTGCAGTCCAAAACCAGCTAGCATGCAGTGGCCCGAACGAGCAGTGCGCCGAAGGTGAGGAATCCTCCCTTTTGGAAGGTCCAAACTCACAGAGACCTCCATATGGCTGTGGGTCAAAACACATATCCCCAAACCAGCATAGGTTGACCTCCTTAATAGTCCGTCCGTCCTTTTCACGTGATGATCCTAGACGACAGGAGCGGGCAGCTGCCGGTACGGTGCGACACCACCGGTGGTTGAGACCAGGCACAATCGGGTGAGGGCCGTGACCAGTAGCGTTGATCCCAAGGGAAAACCACCCCAATGTAGGCATATATGGCAGTCCCATGGAGTGTTTGGGTATAGTTTTTAAGTTTGTTTGTCCCGAAGGTGTCGGGGTGTGGGACCCTCCGCGTTGGAAAAGGTGTGGGGTGTGAGAGGAGAATTGTTGTGTTGTTGTTTAATACGGGGTCATCCAGGGCCCTGTAGGCAGATTTTGGACGACGGCATGACTTTGCGTACTCCACCACTGAGAAAACAGGTTGAAATCATTCGAAGCGTCTTGGTAGAGGGAATGCTGAGGAAACGAGCACCCTCCATATATGATCTCCCTTTTGTTGAATGCGGGATCCGATCTTCCTGGCAGTTGCAGCTCCAGTGCGAGGTCACATTGAGAGCGAGTTACCTGCCACCGGATCGGCTTGGGAGTCCCAGGATCCATCGCTGGTCTTGCTCGTTGCTTCTGGTGGTCGTTCGCTGGTGGATCGGTTTGGGGCGGTGCATGCCTTTTCTGGGTTTGTTTGGGCAGTGCGGCCATGTATAGGCTTGATGTTGAATCCAACATGTTCTTTTGTGTTTGTGCGTGTGATTGCTATGAAGAAACTTAGTGTCTCTTTGCGGATGTGACGTTGCTGAGGCATCAATCAGATTCATATCTTTGAAACGACGACCAAGTTTCACTGATTTGTGTAGCGTTCGAATGCTGCCATATCAGTGTGTGTTGTTTAAAATAAATATGTTCTTATAGTCCATTATAGTCCCTATTGTTTAAACTAAGTATGTTCTAGTCACTAGTCTCTATTATTAGGGACCCAGATACCCTCTCAAACATATTAAACAAAAAGGTTTTTGTGCCCTCCAGTGTTGGAGGTGTTGGAGGCTCCGTTCCTTCTCAGAGTTCATCGGATGGAGGGAACGAGCCCAGCGAACGAACCAGCTTGAACCGCTCTACTCAGCTCTACTCAGCTCCCAGCAGTACCATGACATCGTCCTTTGTTGTCGGGCTCCCGGTTTCTTCTCAATCCAACCACCCTCCAATCACACAAGAAGGAACCATAAGGAACCATCTTGAGTCTCCCAGTCTGAAACGTTTCCATGTTCATCCATCTTCCAACCTTCCAACCTCCAAGAACACTACAGCGGGACGCGGGACGTCCGGGACCTTTGGCATGTTCAGAGTCGCGGTTCACTGAAAACCCCACCAGTTGGGGCACGATCACCACCGTACCACCGGCCGAGGGCTTCCCCAACTCGTACCGGCATCATCCCAGCTCCAAGTCGGCTTGGAGGGCCCAGCGGGGACGGGGGAGACGCGTTCTCCGCAAGTCCCGCCAGCGGCATCACCTGACGCAGCCAGTGAGACGGATGAAAGGAGTCGTAGAGTTAGTTGTGGCACAGTTGGGTCTACGTCTGAGTACCCAACGACTCCGGAACACAATGAGAGCAACCACTAGAATTTGGTCTCTGCTAAAAGTAGTCGTAGTCTGTGACATGCGCTACTGTATTGGTTGGTTAAATCGCTGGTGAATGAGATTGGGCCCCTACACAGACGAGATACCTTAGTTGATGATAACGACTTAGGATCTGCTGCAAGAAGCAGTCTGAAAGACATAGTGCAACAAGACCCCCTACGTAGTCGAAACAAAATATACGGTCCCCCCCACAAAATGACATCCGCGGTAATCCGAACAACTTCCATGATGACACTGTCCGCGGTAATCCGAGCTGACTCAACTTTGGTCAACTTATTGGGGGGGTGGGTCCCACCTATAGATGGTCTCATGTCGGATCTATGTTGGATTTGTTGTTTTGTTCCCCAAACAGTGTGGACACACTAGGGGTTCTTGCGGTAGGGGAAAAGCGCGCGGCCGTGACCGGCTAATTCGCTGCTATTTACAGCACATTCATGACTCTCGAAATCCTCGAAGTGCATTTCGACTGCGCAGGCTCACTGAATCTGGGTGTCCGTGGCGGGTGCTTCTAACGACTGTGCTCTCGTTGTGGTGCCGCGTGCATTTTCGTACACGGCGGTCACTTTTCGTGGCAGGCGCAAGGGAAACCTCGTGTTTTGGTGCTCCAAAGTCGACTTGTCGTGACAGGTGCAAGGGATCGGAGCTGTTTTACTTTTCGTGGCAGGTGCAGCACTTTATGAACCTCGACGCGCAGATTTCGTGGCAGCCGCAGCACTTTGTGAACCTCGGACTGCAGATTTCCTGGCAGGCAAAGCACTTGGTGATGGCAGGCACAGCACTTGGTGAGCCTCGAAGTGCAGTTTTCGTGGCAGGCACGGCACTTGGTGAACCTCGAAATGCAGATTTCGTGGCAGGCACAGCATTTTTGGGGAGCCTCGAGTGCAGATTTCGTGGCAGGCACGGCACTTGGTGAACCTCGAAGCTTCGAAGTGCAGATTTCGTTGCAGGTGCAGCACTTTGTAAGCCTCCAAGTGCAGATTTCGCGGCAAGCACAGCGCTTGCAGATTTCGTGGCAGGCGCAGCACTTGGTGAACCTCGAAGTGCAGATTTCGTGGCAGGCGCAGCACTTGGTGAACCTCGACGTGCAGTTTTCGTGGCAGGCACACCACTTGGTGAACCTCGAAATGCAGATTTCGTGGCAGGCACAGCACTTTGTGCTCTCAGATGCTCACTCTCTCACTCACTCTCCCCTCTCACTCACACACTCACTCATATCCATCACTCTCATCCACACTCACTCTCACTCACACACTCACTCTCACTCACACACTCACTCACAGTCACAGTCACAGTCACAGTCACACTCACACTCCCTCACACTCTCACTCTCACTCATACACACTCCCTCTCACTCACACTCACTCACTCTCATTCACACACTCACTCACACGCACATGCCATGAATGCAACGACACTTCATCGAGCCTCGATAGTGAACATTCTGGTTCTAGTCCTCTTATTGATCAAAAGAGGCGTCTCTTTTTTTTGAAAGAGAAGAGCGAAAAAAAGAGAAAGGCTGAAAAAGTTCAAGTGAGAGCCCACCCCTATGGCAACACTCAGGGAGAAATCAATGCATGCGATTACCCAGGGGCTTTCGCCTCAACAAATAACCGCCACGGGTATTTATCCATGGAAGTCCTGTTCAAACACGCAAGTTGCCGAATAAAACCCAAGGCAAACAAGGTGTGTCTCTCACCTCTCCTCTTCAGCCTGATCCGGTTGTGTTTGCAGGACCGGCTTCCGCCAAAGGCGGAAGACCTGATGGCGCTCTTCGAAGAAGGCGCCCTGGAGGCGTGCGGGGAACCATGCCCGGCTGTACAGAGATCAAGGGGCTGTATACGGATAAGTTTGCGAGGAACGTCTAAAAACAAAAACAGCAGCATTGAAACATAAATATAATTGAGAGGTCTGACATCAACATCAAAAAACAACAAGTGCAAGCCTGAGGCCTAAGCCAGTAACCGCCGTCGAATCGTTGGTCGAACACGTGGCATTTCCGTCACGGGTGTGAGAATTGCGAAATACCTAACATAGTTTTGTAAAAAAGCCTATAGCAGCACTACGCGCCTTTTTCTTTTATTGAGTCCTCGGCCCCCAAGACTCTACCCAAGACTGCTTCATTTGTGAAACAGTGTGAGGCACCAGCAGTTTAAATTGAAAGTGATTGGAGGAAGGTTGGAGGTCTTCTTCAACACATGTGACTTGAATAAAATCTATGGAATTGACATCCAACCTGAGCCACCCCCCATAAAAATCAACAAACATACAAAGAGGATACTTTTGAAGGACGGACACCTTGGATGGGTAGCCAGGCTGGCACCATAGAGGCCAGGTTTCTGCGCACGGACAGGTCCATCCGACCCGCCGCCCACTGGAGCTGGCTCACCTCCGGGCCGCGGTGGCAAACGCGCGCAAGGGCGCGGGTTTGCCACTGCGGTGCTGGAGCGATGCTGCCGACCAGCGGCTGCGCACTGCTTTGGCTAAGCCAAAGCAGAGGAGGCGTGAGGGCCGGAAGTGATGTGGGACGCCTTGATGGGCACGATGGTGCTAGTGTGATTGGTTTCAAAAGAAATATTTTGAGCTAACAGATTTTTGATAATACCACGAGCCTTGGTTGTGAACACGTCGTATTTACATAGCACCTGCCGGTCTCCTTCCGTCATCGTCATTGGGGGCTGAGTGGATCTGGAATCGCGACCAGGCCACAGGGCCCCGCGCGCAGCCGGAGTCCACAGCATCCAGCGAAGGCGCAACAGGATGACTGTGGGTGTGAAAACTTTTTCAGAATTTAGCAAAAGGGTTCAGATTGCTCCAATCCTTAGTGGGAGGACTTCGGCCAGCTCTCTCTCTCTCTCATTCATTCGAAAGAATATCAAAACATCTTGTATCTTTCACTGTGCACTCTCTGTGTTGAAGGGATATACGTGGCTAAGTCACGCCAATCGCAAATCTATTCAGAGGTTCCCTTTCTATCGTTGGCGGACAGCAGTCCAACAAACCACCGTTCTGAGCTTCAACGATGTGCCCAGCGCCCGTTTCTGTAGGCGTCGTCTTCGTCTTCCTCTTCGTCGGGGTCTACGACTAAGTCGCAGCTCCGACGAAAGTTGGCGGCCACGGAGAAGGACAATCCGTGACGACACGATTTCACCGTTTTGGGGATGTCAAATGTTTCTGCAGTGGTTTGTTACACGTAATCAACATATGCGTCTTCTGTTGAAGGCGTGCTTATAAGCGTATCAATTGAAATCACGATTGGTTACTTCCAACTTGCGGCCCCAAGCCATTGCACAGGCAAAGGCAAGTGTAAGTTATGTAGATTGAAAAAAGAATAGCCAGCAAGGAGAGGGATGCTGCTGTGGTCATGTCGGAGGCAAGAAAGGAGGCCTTGGCAGACCAGGAGGCCAGAGGTGAAGCCGAAAGTCGAACACCCAAAGAGAATTTTGGAAGCGGCCTTCTATATCCTATGTTTCCCTCCCCTCTTTTTGTAGAATTGCGAAATGGAAAACTACGGGCATTTGCTCAAACATTGAGCCGCTGCGGGATTGTTCCTTTCATGTTTCAGCCCCTCCATCAGGTGGAGCTGCGGGACCTTCGAGCTTTTTGGGCCGAGCACTGCTGCTCCACCTCCAGCAGCAGCGTCCACTCTTCGGACGCCAACTCTGACTAAAAAGTCGCGTGGCGCAGCCTGGATGTGTTGACGCAAACTTGTTGGTGAACTTAGTTGTCCCTGACTCAGTGACCCGCAATAGGGATGGCACGCAGGTAAGCCAAGGACCCCAATTGTTTCTTTCCTCTCTCTCTCTCTCTCTCTCTTTCCTCCCGGTGAACTTGTTTGAGACGCTCGTTTTGTGGATGGGGAGGAGTGGACCCACCTGGGCGACAGCGCCTTGCAGGTATTGGGGATGGCGCCTTTTAAGGTTGCAGCTTGTTGGCGAACTTGACCATCCCAGACCCAGTGACCCACTGAGCCTTCTTTACAACGAACCCCCGAGCAATAGACCAGTGTTGCAGCTTGTTGGCGAACTTGACCATCCCAGACCCGGTGACCTGGTAGTAACAAGGAAGCTTTCTAGATTGTCTCTGTTTTCTTAGTAGTAACAAAGAAGCTTTCTAGATTGTCTTTTTTTCTGAGTAGCAACGAAGAAGCTTTCTAGACTGTCTCTGTTTCTTAGTAGTAACAAAGAAGCTTTCTAGATTGTTCCCCAGATAGCGAAGCTATGGGAATTCTTATTTCAAATAAGAATGAGCTGGCTGTGCGCGCTTTGGACACAGGGTGCGGGTGCCGGTGCTGGGTGCTGTCAGCTGGCTGTGCGTGTGGCTGGTTGCCGCTGGTGGTGCTGGGTGCTGTCCCTAGCTGTGCGCGGGGTGGAAACAGGGTGCGGGTGGGCGCCGGTGCTGTGTGCTGGTGGGTGCTGGGTGCTGGTGCGGGGTGCTGTCAGCTGGCTGTGCGCGCTTTGGACACAGGGTGCAGGCGCTGGCTGTGCGCCTTTGAGGGGTTGTGGCTCGTTGGTGAACTTGACCGTCCCAGATCCATAAACCACAAAGACATTTCCTACCCTGTGTGCCCCATACCTGCTCGCACCTACGTTTGCAGGATCCCCGGAGCGGCTCGGCCTGCATGGTTCCAGGTGCGCTCCGGGCTGCTTTGCATCTTCAGAGAAGCTATTTCATTTTGTTGGTGAACTTGACCATCCCAGACCCAATGACCCTTATTGGGGAAGGTGTGTTTCAGGGTTGCAGCGTGGTGATGAACTTCAATTACCCACGTTGCGGATGGCGCGCGTGGCCTTTCAGGGTTGCGGCTTGTTGGTGAATTCGACCATCCCAAATTTAATGGCCCGCACTGGGGGTGGCGCCTTTGGGGGTTCCAGCTTGTTGGTGTTCCAGATTCAGTGACCCACATTGGGGGTGGCGCCTTTGAGGGTTGCAGTTGGTTGGTGAACTTGACCATCCCAGATTCAATGACTCACATTGAGAATGGCGCCTTTGAGGGGTTGCGGCTCGTTGGTGAATTGACCGTCCCAGATCCAGTGACCCAGATTAAGGATGACGCCTTTCAAGGTTGCAAACTCTTTTTGTTGAATTTGACCATCCCAGACTCAGTGATCCAAATTGGGGATGGCGCATTTTAGGGTTGCAGCTCGTTGCTGAATTTTGAGCCTGAAGCATGTGCCCGCAGTTTTGCCTGGCCCGCAGTGCTCGTTTTGCAAAGGCAAAATGGAGTTTCAGGGCGGGTTCCAGGCGTGGGTGACCCCAGAGGCGGCCACCTGGTGCTCAGGGCGGGGGGCCCTGGCGCCATGACGCCTTCGCGGGCTGCAGCACCAGTGCAAGCGGTGGAGGACGAACCCGAACCTTCGCGGTCGTCGAACCAACGCCCGCTTCGCTCCACATCGTGGGGGGTTGGGCAATAGTGAAATTTTTCGTGCCCCAGTTTTCACGAACGCGAGGCCTTGTACAAGACAATCTCCAGGCTCGAGACCAACCACCTCAACGACTTGAAATTACTCACACACCCAGGTTGTCTCTATGATGACCCCGGCTCGGACTCATGATTTTCACCGTGCCCCTCGGGAGAGGACCTCCTCCTCTTCCGCCAAGCCATGCACCAGCTGAGGACACGCCACGACCTTCGACTTCGATTCCAGATGCCAAGCCCAAGATCATTCCAAGGGCAGCCAGGTATAGTAGATCCTCGAGGTCTACATGTGGTGATTCAACGGACGAAGCATCCACCAGTCGCCATCCAGAAACGGATGAAGCATCCATTGCCAAGAAAGAAGAGTCCATTGCAGAAGAAGAGTCCATCGAAGAAGAGGAGCCCCTCACCGAAGAAGAGCCCCGTGACGCCGTGTCGAGGAGCCCCGTGAAGATCGTTCCAAAGCATTCTTCAGGGCATCGCAGCGCACTCACACTCACTCTCACTCTCACTCACTCACCCACTCTCACTCTCACTTGCCACTCACTCTCACACTCACAGTCACACTCACTCAAACTCCGACTCTCACTCACACTCACACTCTCACTCTCACTCTCTCACTCTCTCACTCACTCACTCACTCACTCACTCACTCACTTCTTCACCACCATCGCCACCGTCACCACGATCCCCACCTTCATCACCACCATCCTTTGGACCCCAATGCGTCTAGATCTCTAGACTTTCTGCTTATAGACCGCACACACACACACTGTTTGGGGTCTCTCGCCGGTTTTTTAATTGACATTCTGACATTCTTGAAATTCTCTGTCAGACCTTGAAAGTCCAGAATTAATTTGATGCTGATATCTCCAACCACCTCAAAATATTAGAATATCATTTTGAGGTGGGTGGTACGGAGGGTGGGCCCAAGGATTGGCGTATCCGAAAGGAAGACCATTGTCCTCCACAATTTGGGTGGATTTAACTAATGTGGACCCTGAGCATGTCTCCGTGCTGATGCCGTAGGGACTGCGCTCAAAATAGATCAACGTAAACTTTAAGGTCAGACATGTGTCTTTAAGTCTTCGTTTAGAGCCGGGCCCCCAGCAGACTACTGTGAAAGGTCCTCTGTACAGGTGCCTAGGCTTCCTTGTTTTCTAGCGCTAGGTTAGGCGAGCTGTGTACAGGCCTACCATGCGCGTCTTTTGGCTCAAAAGAACGAGGGCCAGACCTCAGTCGATGCGAGCGGGTCGCCGGGCGTGGGTTCGCATGCAGAGAGGAACGCAGATCAAAAGCGATCTTGCCCTCCTAAGAGAAAAGGCAAGGAAGGAGGCCAGCGGAGCGGACAACCAGCTCGCGGCGCCAATGCCAACCGAGGATGCGGACCAACGAGTCGCTCGCAACGGAATCCTCAACCTGAGGTTGTTTACGGATGCGATTGAAATTCAGCAAGCTGTCGTAGCGCGGCTGCAAGCGGCTATGACAGCGCCAGTCACGACTCCTCAGACAAAGGGAGCCCGAATTGGACTACAGCAAGCAGAGGTAATCTTGAGCTTGGATGGGGATTCACCTCGATGAGGAGCGGCCCTGCGGTGAGCTGGAGAGCGGGATGATATAGGTGGTATCATGTGACATGTTTGCTGCTATAGTGTGTGGGCAGAGCGTGTGGCGAAGTTACGTTCATGACGTCGCAGTGCCATGCAGATTTGCGCGGCCTTGGTGGGAAGTGCGTTTGCATGGTGCTGTGCCACTGGGAGCGCGAAACATGCTGGCGTAAACGAGGCGTGTCGCTGGTGAGCGGGATGATTGGTGGTATGATGTGATATGTTTGCTGCTGGTGTGTGGGCAGGCCGTGTGGCGAAATTACGTTCGTGATGTTGCAGTGCCATGCGGATTTGCGCGGCCTTGGTGGGAAGTGCGTTTGCGTGGCGCCGTGCCAGTGGGGAGCGCAAAATTTTCTAACCAACGTGTGCGGAACAATAAACTACCACCTTCATTCCTGAGTACACACGCGTTGGCTTACCCATGCGCGATACATTTCGTCTCATACCATCAAAGTGCAGTGCAGACATTTATCGTTTTGCTATGTCGTTCAGCTGCACCGATTGAGTGTGTGTTCTCGCATTGACAAGTTTTCTTTGATGTGTGTTTCCATTGTTGGGAACATCGGCTTCATTGTAGTCTACGAAACCCCCTTCTGCACCCGGTCCTACACGAAAGGGCAGAATAGGCGGGCAAAAACAATTGGATCGAGTCCGCCAACGCGGATCCCCCCAGACCATGGAAGATTGACATCATTTGGTAGTCTATTCTGTTGATTCTTGGTGGTCAACTCCGTTTTGACTCACAGTCATATGTCGTTCTGGTGTGGGTCTTGCCAGAAGCCCATCCACGCGCTTCAGACCTGAGCCACCCAGGAGGGTTCCAAGGTGAAGCTTCACGAGGCCGGTCCCAATGCTCGACGTTCCAGGTTGATCCAGCCGGGTGAGAGCCAGCACTGCACCGAATGCTCAAGCTGGTTCCGTTTGCTTGAAATCCTTTACATGGGAAGGTGGCTGGTATTGGGGAAACATGCATTCTGGTTGTTTGGGCGGTTTGGGTTTTCAGGAAACCGTATGGTTAGCCAGCGGAATCCTGGGGTTACACTGAGTAATCGGGGCCCATGGTAGCATTCGTGCATTTGCTTCCATAGGCGCGAAACGGTAAGAACCAAAAGACAATAAGTGCCTCCTTCCTGACGCGCTTCAAGACTTCGACCTCGGTCGCTGTGAACAACTCAGCTAAACATATGTGTTTCGCTTCCGGTCAGTGAGGGACATGTGCGACTTCCGTGAACCTTCCGGTTCAAGGGCACCCTTCAGCCACTGGCCTTGATAGGCCACTTACGGCTACCGAGCGCACGTGCCGCCATAGCTGTGGCACTTGAGGCCGAAAAGGCCGAACGACGACAACGCCCGAGAACGGGCCTTGGTGTGCGGAAAACAACTGCTACCTGAGCGAGTGGCCTTTGTTTTGGTTGGAAACCTTTCACCTTCAAAGGTCACACGGCTACCGACATTGGTAGCGGAGCTCTGGCGATTGCCATCTCCTGGGACCTTGGAAAGTCACTACTTCATTGAGCCCCTCCTCGCGAACTTCCCTGGCGGCGGCGGCTGGGCACCTCCCTTCGACCTCGAGCTCTACTCGCGGCGCCTGGCTACATCCTCGACTCCTTGACGGAGATCCTCGATGGCAACCATCTCGGCCAAAGAGGTGGTGGTCACATGGGACGGAGATCCCACCACCTGGGGCGACTACGCCCGAAAGGTCAGATTGCAATGGGAGAAGACACCTGACCGAAAGAAGAAATACCTGGCACCTGACCTTGCGTCCAGGTTGACTGGCCGTGCATGGTCGGTCACCCCTGACCTAGAACACTCCAAGCTGAGCAAGAAGAACGGCACCAAGTATCTCCTGAAGTTCTTGCAAAGCCGGCTATGCCGGACAGCGGTCCCTGATGCTGGAGCTCGCTTGGAGGACCTGCTGATCAGGTTGAGGAGACCATTGGGAATGCCGATGAGTCAATGGTCATCCTATGTCCTGCAGGCCTACCGCAAGGTACAAAGGGCATTGGTCAGGGCTCGACAGCAGAAGAAACCGCCTGTGACAACACTGGGAACTCCTGTGACTGGGAGCGCCATGTCAGAACCTCAAGCTGAACCACCGAGCCGACCACCTACTTCACCCTCATCGCCTACTACCAGAGCAGCAGCAGCAGTCTCTCAGGCATCACCCTCATCGCCTACGGGACGCGCACCAGATCCCCGACCTCAAGATGAAACCGGAGATGATGGTGCAGAGCAAACGTCACCAGAAGATCCTCATGAAGATCACTGGCACCAAGATGATGGCTGGACAGCTGAAGAATGGCGACAATGGCGACGTGAACGACGCCATTGGGAGGACTCTGACAACGACACCTCCTCGCCTGGAGAAGATCTTCCTTGGGATGAACTGGAAGTTGAGGACATCCAGGTCCTGCCAGATGAAGTCCTTGGCTGGCTACTGCTACGCCGAGCTAACTTGAGTGCAGCCAGCAGGTTGTCTGTCCAGGCCAGTGTCCAGAACAGCCTCACCTTCCGTGACATCGAGACGGCGCTTCGAGATCAAGAAGAAGAACTACTACAGGCAGATTCTACAAGACATCCATCGAAGCGACGCACCTACTGGGTGGAAGAGGCTGGCTCCTGGGGGCTTCTGGTGAACCAGGACGAGACCACGATGGATGAACTGACTGCCGAAGTGCATTGGGTTGGTCATCAACTACCTCCTGAAGTATATGATCCTGGACCCATGGAGAATTCTCTGGAGGAAGATCCTGAGATCTACTGGACTCGTGAAGGCGATGGTTGGCATGGCTACACCATGGACTGGTCCGGCGAGTGGTATGAGACAGATGGCCATGGAGCCTTCTGGGCCTGCGATGATGGCTACTTCGACGACTTGACCGCCGAGGAGAACAAAGAGCTTGAGGAGGCCTACTCAGTCTATGAGAACAAGGCCAAGACCTTCTTGCAGAGCAGGCAGTTCCAACGGGCAAAGGGCAAAAGCCGAGGCTTCTATCCACCTCACCTGCTCAAGGGCAAGAAGGGCAAAGGAAAATTTAAAGGCAAGAAAGGCAAGGGGCGTTCACCTATTTCCTCTTCTTCACCAATATGGCCAATGAGACAGTGCTGTCAGCTGAGGCAACTTCGACCGGATGCTTCATCTGCGGGGACAAGTCACATGGTTTCCGCAATTGCCCGAAGCGCAGCACCAGCAGCTCACCTACGACTGGAAAAGGTTTTCGCAAAGGAACCTTTTGGGTGGAGGCCATGACCCCAAGCCCGCTGGACCTCGACTTCATTGGCATGGCCACGAATGAAGTGATCACTGGTGACACCTCGGGCTATGGCGTCCTGGACCTGGGAGCCACTGAGACGGTCGGATCCCTTGAGGCCCTGGAGAAGTTGATGTGGCAGCGACATCAAGCTCAAGGATGGGAAGAAGGCATCAAAGTCTTCACCGGCCCGAATGCTGTCAAACCTTTTCGCTTTGGAAATGGTGGCATCAAGTACAGCGAATCCTTTGTACTGGTACCTCAGAAGCTGGGCGAGAACAGCGTGATGCTTGGCATGTTCACCCTCGACGCTGAGAAGGTGCCGATCTTAATTGGCATGCGCACTTTGGATCGCCTTGGAGCGGTGATCGATGTGAGCGGCCGTTGGATGGTTTTGTCCAATGTGGCACCTGACCTCAAGATCCCACTTGGAAAGAGCAAGGCGGGACATCTTCTTGTTGACCTTCGCACTGACTGGCTCACCATGGGCCAGCCTTTGGAGCAACATGCACCACGACCTCGTGCGGCATATAAGGTGAGCAGTCCTCTGTGCGCAGTCTTTCCCATGGACCATGAAGATGTCACTTCTCAGGCTTCCCACGACATGTTGGACCACCTGCACCCAGAGCTTTGCATGAGTTTTGAGTCTCCACACACCCTTGAACAAGCTCTTGTGGTTGAGAAGTGCAGTGAGGCAGAAGGTCTTGAGTCAGGTGAAGATCTTGAAGCTGCTTACATGCTTGATCGTCATGATCACCTCCGACGCCCTTTGGCACAAGCTGATCAAGGGATGCGGGATGACATCCTGACCGCCCTCGTGAACGACGCCTCACGAGCCCATGGCGCCCAAGGCGAAGGAGAAGAAGAAGCCTGTGGCACCAGCTTCCGAGCGGTTCGACTACAGCCGCACACAGGGGATCAACAAGGACGATCCCCGGGCCACGGGACCACCATGCCATGGAGAACACACTCCTGCGATGCCGGGACGAGGCTCGAACACAGGCAGCAACGCCCATGCAACATGGGTGGGATGCTCGGAGTGTGGGATTCGCCTGAGCTACACGCCGGCCTTCGGCGCACACGGCCTGACTCGACAAGCAGGACCACTTGTGGCCGACACGACGACCCAGTTGGTGGAGAAGAAGCCGGACAAGGGCAGCATCGAGTTGAAGGACAAGAAGATCGGCTTGGATGCAGCCGAAAGATCCCTGGAGAAACGCATGGAGACCATCCGCAAGCAGAAGGAGCAATGGCTGTCAACCCAGCAGCGCAAGGACAAGTTTGCGGCCGAGACAACCAAGGTCTCCCCAGGGAAGTCTTCGCAGGGCCAAAGCCCGGAACGCCCTATGACGCCTTCACCACCTACGGCAGGGTATGCTCAGGACCACACCATGGCCCTCACCGGCAGCAAGAAGAGTGCGAGGCTACCGGAGAAGTCCGCAGAGGAGTACGAGATCGCCACCCAGCCGGAGAACGAAGAGGAGGAAGAATGGAGCAGAGTGACACCGGTGAGCCCCAGTTCCACGTGAAGAAGATTGTCAATGCAGCTCCCGGACTCCAAGGATCTCATGTTTCACCAGCCGGAGGAACTACCTCTTTGAAGAGTTCCTCACCAAGTTTTGCATGCGCTACGAACAGTTTTTCATCATCTACCGCACCAACAGAGCCTGCCATGAAGGACCCCAACCTGCCGAAGATCAAGTCCAAGGAGACGATGGACGAGTACTACCTGGGGATCCCAATGGGCAACAGTTTCACCAATGCTGGCATTTTGCCAACTCCAGGCATTTTGCCTGATGCTTCAGCCTGCAGCAAGAAGCGGAAGAAGAAAGGTCAGCAGCCCCACTCATCTGACAGTGACGACTCCGGCCAAGGCCGAAGGCTGACCGAAGACGACACCGCCTTCCTGCTCTCCCTGGCTGAAGAGTATGAACAAGGATGCGAGGACATCATGATGAGCCTGATGGCGGATCAGGTCAAGAAGCCTCCAAAGATCATGGAACTCTGCTGTGAAGAGGACAGTGGACTCACCACTGCATTGGAAGCTCAAGGAGGCCTTGGAATTCGTTGCGGTCTCTTCAACGACTGCGACCTCAACAAGAAGTCTGGCTTCAACAAGGTGATCCAGCTCCTGAAGACCTATAAACCCGACGTGCTATGGGTATCGCTACCTTGTGGGCCAACTTCTGGCATCCAAGAGCTCAACAAGCTGACCGAAGAAGGTCGAGCCAAAGTGGAAAAGAAGGTTCAACGCTCAAAGCGCCTGGCAAGCAGAGCAGTGATCATCATGGAGCTCCAGATCCAGCAAGGTGGAGAAGTTTTTCAAGAATGGCCCAAGTACAACAAGGCTTGGGAGTTTCAGTGCATCCAGAACTTCTGGCACCAACACGGAGGTTTCGAGGCTGTCTTTGATGGTTGTGCCTACGGACTCCGTGCTCCAGAAGGTGGTTTGATGAAGAAGCCCTGGAAAGTGAAGAGCACTTCACAATTGGTGTGGCAGCTTCAGAGGCTATGTCAATGCCAAGAACCTCACGTTCCCTGTGAAGGAGGAACTCGCACTCGGCTATCAGCTTTCTATCCCAAGCA